CCATCCAGACTTTTACCAGCGAATGGTGGTGCGACATCTGTCATGGTATGGATATGCATCAGTGCCCATGGCATGGGTGACCTGCATATGTGTGAGGTGTATATTGGGATTTTACAGAGACACATATGCCATCAAGACACTGTCTTGACTCACCTGCCTATTGAAAATGTATAGCAAATCATGAAGAGAAGTATCAGACAATGATGACTACAGACTGATGAACAGCTGAAGTCTTGTATCAAGCAAGAATGAGCAAAAATTTCACTTGTATAACTGCAATAATTATTATACTCAGTTCATAAACTAGTAATAACAAATCACAGATTCTCATTTTTATTGCATTTTACGAAATGTCCCAACTATTCCAGAAATAGGGTTTATTTTTTGGCCATTTTAATAGATAACAGTATAACCACATAAGCAATTCTATTGGTGATTAGTTAACAACTCCACAGGGTTTAATGCAAGTGGCAATGATTTATACATGCAGTTTATGAAGTATAAGCATCTGTTACTTGTTAGCTACATTAGCCTTTTAGCTTCAGTGCAATACTACAGAAGCTAATGTTCCAATCGACTGTTGAGTAAGAGGAAAAATTAAATAAGTTAATTCAAACCAGGTGGGCTGACAGTCCAATATCCCACCACCTGCAAGGACATATAAGCAAAACATAACTGACAGAGTGAGTTTTGGACAATGTAAGTAGCTTGACTGAGAACCCACAGCAAAACAAAATAATTGACTAGCGAGCTCCCTTGGCTTTTTCATTGACATATAAATAGGCCTTTGATCTGTTTTTTCCCACCTACTCTCTTCTCACTTCTTGTGGTGTCTGATGGGAGCCCCCACCACCTCCAGTCTTTTCATAAACCAAGAGTGAGCAGCAAGGCGTCCTTTTGCTCGCCACAAATCACTATCGGCAGTAGACGTTCAAAAAAATCGCTCGCAGTCTGTGGCTTCTTTTGTGCTGTCCTTCTCACTTGAAATCGACCCGGTAAGCCAACAGTGCAAATTTATAAAAGGAATAGAGGTCACTGGAACAATGGAAGAATTATCTCCATGGCATTCACGCACACGCGCAAGACTAATTAATAAACTGTCTGATGCTTATGAGCTCGGGGCACCAGCCGTAGCTTATTCCTCTTGTGAGAGATTTCTAATATTGTGCTGACACTTCAGCTAAGCGCTCATCAAGTTGTTGATGTTATTAGAGCAACACTTTCAGAGGAAATTTCCCAAAGGAGTAGCTATAATGTTCTGTTCAATTAAGTGACCAGTGGTTTTCTTTCAAATAAATAAATAAAATAAATTTGTGTAGGTAACATGCACGTTTCTAAACAGCTCCCATTTCCCTGTTTCTTCGAAACAGCTCCCATAGTATTGAACTCTCTCCACTTTCAGTCTTGTAAGTTGAGCTTAAATTCAGTTCAACATCATCACTTCCTCTTGCTATATATATATATATGTTTTTATTTTGAAGGAGTACTTTAAAGTAATACATATTAAAGGGCCCTTATTATGGAAAAACTACTTTTCCTCAACTCTTTAAATAAAAGAAAGTTTAATGTTATATGTAGGGAACCCCGCTGGTGACATCCTGTATAAATAAAAATAATGCATGGCCACAACGTAGTAAGGCGTGGGAATGTGATCCTAATGTGTGGCTATGACTATGAGTAAGGTGCGGGAACAAGATAATTAAGTTTTTAGTAATTAACGTCTCATTCCCTGATCTCTGTATTGGCTCGACTACATCATAAAATGAGTTTAAATAAAGGTTGATTGATTAATTGATTTTAGAGGCACGATCACACAAATAGCCTGCTTAATTTTACACACAAATGCACAATGATTTTGGAATCATATTGGTATTGACAGATATGAGCTTAAAAGTAAAGTATTGGCAGATATTAGATGTGTTTATTGTACTCTGGATGAGCAGAATGTTTGGATGTAACTGGGCTACTGGACTAAAATATCTGCATTTTTTTTTCATTTTACTGCATTTGTACCTCTACAGAAATAAATATTCTACTTCTCTGTAATAGGTCGATTGATTTGGCCCCAATGTCTACATTGTAGGAGCGTTTATGTATCAGCATCGGCCGACACACACATAGAAAATATAAGAGCTCGTCATCAGCCTAGAATTCCCAAATCGGTGCATCCTTAATTTTAAGGGATAAAGAGAGGTTGGAAAATTGTTATGTAAAAAAGAATTATGACTAAAGTACTAGTTTAAAGGGCCCATATCTACCACTTTTCCTGTATTTTAGCTTTTCCTCTTATAACCTTAACGTCAATGGGCAGGGCTAAACTACTAGAGGCTGAATAGGCAGACACACATAAAAGAATTGTTTTTTTGTGATGTCACAAATATGAATTAATTCTAAACAGGCTGTTTCTGCAGCTTAGTTTCTGTATAGGGACTGTATGGACTGGGGGTGTACAATATATTTGACAACTTTAAAATTTATAAATTCTTAATTTTAACAAAATAAATTCTGTTATTTTCAGTCACATGTTCTCATGCCTGAAAGGGAGTCAGTGGAATTACTTTAAAAAAGCAACAATACCCACAACATTCAAATCAGCATTACGCAATAAAATAATAGCATAATGGTTGGGTCATATTTCAGCTTTGCATTAGCCATGTGTTGTTTCCAAAAGCATCTTGTTTCATTCTCTGCCCCACTGTGGTATGTGGTGATTAGTGTTTGTGCTATATCTTACTTTAAAAGCACTTCTTTCACGATAAAACCACCAAAATTGTTTAAAAATATGTGTATGTTTATATAAAATGGTTGGATTACTCCTTTAAACCTATTCTTATGTAAGATCACATGTTGGAATGGAGTGTTAATTACATTTAATATATATGGTACATGATACATGGATTGAAAAGTAAATGTTCCTCACTTTTCTTTAAATAAAAAAGTTTGACGTCGTATATAAACATTGATAAAGTTTCAAAACATGCCATTCGCTCTCCAGTCCATACAATCCATAAATAGGAGCTAAGCCGCAAAAATATATGCAAAAGATGCAAAAAATAGCCTGTTTTGAATTTCAGCCTACTGCAGTTAAATCCCCACCCACTCACACTGAAGTTTCACTACTCATGTGTTTGCATGCCTGTGTTTTCCTGTAGGGCTGGGAGTTTAACTTTCCTCTTGGATGCCTTATTATGATTATATAGATGAACATTTGTATTAAACGTGTTACCATAGTTGAAAGTTGTAGTATGCAGTACGTCATGAATGAGCCTGAACCTATCATGGTCCAGTATACTAATATAGAAGTGATGGTGGATGAAGTTTTATAAAGTTCGCTTCATCAAATTCACTTTGTAAAAGGTGTTTTCTCACTGCATTCAAAAACAAGAACTGACTCAGACATGAACCAACTGAACTTACGGTCGGGTCTAGTTCATTTACCACCTGCTTGAGACACTACAGGACCTGTTCATAGCAGCCACGATTCACAATTTAATGGTCTTTTTGGTCATTTAATGCAAATAACAGCATCTAGTTTTGGCTAATTATATACGTTGCTTGCTGTTTAGCTTACCCTAACGGCTGAAACAATGCACTGCACTGTTCTGCACAACCACACAAATGCCTACATTTACACAGAATCAAGTACAATCGAAGAAAGTTTCAATTTTTCTCTGCTGAGCGTGAAATAGTGCAAAAACTCATTCTGTGGCTGTTTGTTGGCTTATGTCAAACTCTCTACAAAGTAATAATTCTAAGAATGGCCACCAACACATCAACATGTCGTCCTAGTTTACATTTTGGTGCACTTGTTGGTCGTGTAATAGTGCTTTGCATCTTCACCACAAAGAGTAAAGGATCCGCTACATTGTGGCTTCAGCCGCAAGTGTTAGAAAACACAGAAGATCCCTCAGTGTGATTAATACTACTTACAGCAGCTCTATCGTAATGTAACATCAATAAAATGCCACGTTGGGGTACATTTGACATTACAGCCTCAAGCCCAAAAAGATTTTATCCTTATTGCCAATTCACATTGTAAACTGTGCCATAAACTGACCTGCTTTCTGTTTGACTGGATGCAAGTTATCTACTCAGACATATAGCCAACAATTATGTTTACAAACATTCTGACCCGGTCTATTGTGTGGAATCTACTCAATCAATTCCCATCACCTGGAATAGGAGTCAAATCCAGAATTTCCGGAATCAAACAGTCCTACACACTTAAAAAAGATTTTCAAGGGTCCTTTAGTAAAGGCAGTGATTCCATACAGTAGAGCTCTGCACCACTTATTCTTTTTCCAGCACCAGACCAACATAAACCAACTGTGCTGTTTTTTTTCCAGCAGGGCAGTCCATCATCACTTCCCACAGGCCGCTGCTGGCTGGACGTTTTTGGTTCTCAGTCCAGCAGTGACACGGAGGTGTTAAAAAACTCCAGCCGCACTGCTGTGCCTGATCCTCTCGTACCAGCACAACACATACTAACACACCACCAGCACATCAGTGTCATGGCGGTGCTGAGAATGATCCATCACCCAAACAATAGGTGGTCCTGTCTCTGTGGGGGCCCTGACCATTGAAGAACAGGGTGAAAGGGGGCTAACAAAGCAGACAGAGATACAGATGGACTACAGTCTGTACTTGTACAACAACAAAGTGCACCTATATAGTAAGTGGAGCTGATAAAATGGACCGTTGAGTGTAGAAACATGAATAGTTTAAATGCTACGGATCGGTGTAAACAGAGCCAGCCTGCTTCAGTCCATCACCAACGTCTTTTTAACGGTTCGCCGCGCGCTCGTGGAACGCGTCGTGACGAGCCCCGCCCACCCGCGCTCTCATTGGCTACTGTGAAAGCAGCTCTGATTAGCTGTGCTGTGATTGGACGGTTGGTCGCGCTTAACGGTTTTTCTCCCCCTCCTCCTTCTCACCAAGCCGCTGTGAATTTACGATGAAGACTGGCCGCGTACGTGTGAGAGAGAGTGAGAGAGGACGAGGCGTCGCTGTTCAAGTTTGAAATAGCCGAATTACAGCACGACCCCTTCCTCCAGCTCTTCATTAACATCATTCAGAAATGACCTCACGCGCAAAAGGGGTCGGGAATGAGTGTAGCCGGACGGAGAGTTTCGCGCACGGAGAGTAGACGGTTTGTTGTCTCACCACGCTGACACCGAGGCGCCGAAAGGATGTTCTGCGCTAAGCTGAAGGACCTGAAGATTTCAGGAGAATGTCCCTTTTCCGTGCTGGTCAGAAACGAAGAACAGGGGGGTTTCGGAGGCGACCGAGCCAGAGATGCGCTGCCGGTGTCCACCGAGGTTCAGAGCAGTGTGGAGAGCTCCGTGCCCAAACGCAAAACGAGCAGGAGCAAAGTTAACCTGCATTCTCTGGGCGAAAGCGTACGAAAACTGGTCTGTCCTGAGGTAACGGTTACGCTCCTGACAGAGACTTGGTTTTTCTTCCTAGCTCTACTAAACGAGCTCTTACTGGCATAAGAAGCTATAATGCGCCTTTATTTGCACATTGAGAGGCTACACTGTGTTTAAAACTCTGTGCTTTTGTCTTCAGAGTAAATACTGGAATGTTAATACTCGTAAAAAAGGTGGTTCTTGAGGGGTTCTTTAGCAAGGGCGTATAGGGAACCTATTATAGAATCTGTATAGAGCCATTTCATGCTTAAATGGTTCTTTGCATGGTAAAATTGTTCTTCAAATCAATGGGGAATGTGTTGTACATGGTTTTTAAACATGGTTCTAGATAACACCAAACAGGGTTCTTCTACTGTTACAAGCCACAATGGTCAAAACATGGTCCTATATGGAACCATTTTCAAAAAGGTGCTATACAGAACCATTTCATGCTTAAATGGTTCTTTGCACAGTAAAATTGTTCTTCAGATTAATGGAGAATGTGTAGTGTATGGTTTTTGAAAATGGTTCTAGATAGCACCAAAAAGGGTTCATCTACTGTCACAAGGCACCATGACCTCGTAACATAGTGCTAGGGAATCATTCTCAAAAAGGTGCTGTATAGAACTTTGATTCTCTGCCAATCTGAAGAACTACTTCACCACGCAAGGAACCCTTTAAGCGTGAAATGGCTCTATGTAGAACTCACGGTTCTAAATCAAACCATTCCCTTTACTAAAGAACCTGTGAACCCTTGAGTGTGTAATATAAACACTCTGATTCTGACAAAGTAATCTGTGTTTTTACATTTTTAGTTTGAGAAACTGAGAAGTGCGATGGTGAGAGTGATAAAGCAGGAAATAGACCTGACCTGGTAAGATGCCTGAGACACATACATTATCACACATTTTATATCCCTTACAGAAAAATCACATGACCTTCACTCGTGAATAATCACGTTATTTAGGCTGTGGATGGTTTACATTTTTATCCGTCATTTATGATTTTTCACGTCACTGTTCACTCATTAGCAGTTTGTTACATCTGTGATCTTATGGTGTCACGTTATCAGATATTATCCACATACGTGTGATCACACTTTGTTTACACTATGGTCTGTGATCACATAGTTTACATTGTCTGTGGTCACATGTGACCACATTCATATCATGTCACATGTGATAGCATATTATTGACATCATTCAACACATAATCACGTTATTCAGTGTCATGTGATTACACGTTTATTTGCATTATGTCACATGATCACATTCACATTGTTACATGTGATAATGTACACTGTCATACGGGATCACATAAACATTGTCATGTCATGTGTGATCAGATATTCACATTCGTGAATGTGTGATCACATTCACAAGTTGTCATATGTGATCACATTTCACATGTGATCGTGTATTCATATCGTGTCACGTGTGATTGCACATTATTCACATTTTTACTCACATTATTCAGTGTCATGTGTTTACACATTTTTTTTGCATTATGTCACATGATCACATTCAGATTGTCACGTGATCTCGTATTATTCACACTGTCATTTGGGATCACGTCATTCACACTGTCATGTCATGTGTGATCAAAAATTATTCACACTATCACGTGATCGCATATTACACATTGTCATATGCAATCACATTTACATTGTCACATGTGATGTATGGTGTGATTTGATTATACTATTCACATCGTCAGGTGTGATCACAGCTTATTCACACTGTCACATAACTTTGTTACGTTGCCACTTGCGATCTCATTCAAATGATATCATGTGAGCACATTATTCACACTGTCACCCGCGATCACATTCACACTGACATATGTGACTGCTTATTATTCACGATGCTGCATTTTTTTACTTGTGGAATGTGATCACATGTGAAATGCAAGTGGCGTTTCTGTAAAGGATGTAGTAAAAAATGAAATATATCAGTGGAATATAACACATAAACTGTGTTATTACTCTTTGAAATGTTATAGTTTAAAGTTACATGAATAATTCAGTGGTTTGCTGACACGCAACGCTCTTTTCATGTTTGTGCGTCCTTTTTTCACAGTTTTTTGCCTAACTCTATGTCATGTGTGTCCACAGCCCTGCAGGACACAACACAGATCTTTGTCAGATGTTGGAAAAACCTGAGGACCTACTAGATGTCATGAAGATATATTCACAGAAAACAGGTACATAAAGCATTGCTTGCTGCTGCTTTATTTGTCTAATTTAGTCTAATATAGATTATCCACAGATGCACAAATTATTAAAGGGCCTATGTCTTAGAAAAAGTAATTTCCTTGCTTTGTTTTAAAAAACAGAAAAATGTGCTATAATATGTTTCAAAATGTACCATTCACTCCTCAGTCAATACGGTCTATATTTGGAAACTAAGCCCATTATGAATTCACTGGTTTTGCAATGTTACAAACAATGCATTTACAAAGATCCAGCTATTAAGCCTGCAGTAGTTTAGCTTTGCCCGTTCACACTGAAGTCATAAGGAGTGTTTCGGCCTGAACTGCATAATAAAAATAGCATGTTTGCTTGTTAGGAATAAAAAGAGGTCAAAAAATGGACACGTAAAAATTAATTATGGCCATTCTTGGTACACAAAGTCATACAAATGTCATAAATGAACCTCAAGGAAAGTAAAATACAAGAAAATTGTAGGATATGTGTCCTACAACAAATTGTCTTATGAAACTCAACTGATTCTCAACAATGTTAGGGTTAGAATGTGAGGTGATTTTAACTGATATTTAGTTTTTATATTTAGAGAGAAGATGAGCATCTACAAAGCATCACACTTTAAACTCTGGCTAGTACGTTATGGTATATGTGTTGCTTATCAGCATACTTTCTCATATGTAACTATGAATTCCAGGCATTCACATGGACATGTTGAAGATATCCTTGGGCTTGGAAGTGTTCCGAGACTGCTATGAGGAGGACAGCCACATTCTGGGCGTGGTCGGGGGCGCCCTCCACGATTTCCTCAACAGTTTCAACGTCCTTTTAAAGCAGAGCACGCCCCCCACTGCCGAGGCTCGCCAGTATGTGAGCCAAGCCTCTGTCCTGTGCCTGGACAAAGACCCTGGACTCCTCACGGTGTATTATTTCAACCCTCACCCCACCGCAGAGCTTTTCTTCCCTGGGATCATCCAGGCAGCGGCTAGGTTCCTCTACTGCACACAGGTGGAGGTCAGGATGGACTTTGCGGGGGCGAAGGACAGCGGCGCCCTCCAGGCCAGCCACCAGCCTCATCTCCTGTACGCTGTGGCAGTGAGGGATGCCAAGAGCCTGACGCCGAGCCCCATGAGGACACACTCGTCTGGGGATATCCCTCTTTCTTTGCTCTACACTACCTTTCCCTTCCATATTCTCTTGGACCAGGACATGGGGCTGCTGCAGATAGGAGATGGACTGAGGAAGCGCTTGGGGCGCAGCAGAGACAGCCAGAGGAGGCCAACGTTTGAGGAGCACTTTGCCATCGTCTTGCCTGAAATACGGGCTAACTTCCAGGGCATCCTGACCATGCTGAACACCCAGTTTATCCTACGAGTGAAGCAACAGCAGTCGTCCGGTTCTACAGCCAGCTCTGGAAAGGTAATCATAAATATTTTACTTGCTCCATGCTGGGTGTCCAGGCGTTCAATGTTAACCGTGGGTCAAATGTAGCATGTAAAAGAGCTTACCTGGACATTTTTTTTTTAGATTGGGCGCATTGCTCTGCTCAGCTCAGCTGAGGAAAAAATAATGCAGCTTTGAGACCTTCAACAGACCACACTGCACTGCTGGCATGTTTTGCCTTTTCTCAGACGATGCAAAATGAGCTTCATGCTGGGTGACCAGGAACTCAATGTTAAACGTGGGCCAACTGCAGCATGTAAAATTGCTTACCCAGCAACATTAGATCGAGTGCATTGCTTACCTAAGATTTGTTGTGTACACCATGAGGAAAAAACAATGCAGCTCCTTCAATACACTGCACTGCACTGCTGGTATATTTTGATTGATGGTGGAATGTAGTTTCTATCTATGGCTGGGCTCAGTTATTTATTATTATTTTTTTAAATCACTCAGATCAAAGAGGCGGAAAAATCAAAGGCTGTCCCAGATTTAGACATAGAAAGAGCTGCTGAGCAAATCACCAGGAGTCAGGACTAATCAGCGCAGAGTAATTAGGGAGATTTTTTTCCTCCTGCTCTTTTCCACTGACCTTAGAACCAGTTTTTTGGGGTGTCAGATAGCTATAAATAGGGTTTAGCGTAGGTTAACTGGTCCTAGATCAGGATGAAAAGGTAACCTCTACGCAGTGAAATTTTTGTTCTGTGGAGGAAGCCCACTCCTACGCAGACGATGAGACTAACACAGAGCCAAATGTCAAGTCATGTAGAAACATCCACTTGTCATAGCATCAAATAATGAAATGTAACCTATTTAAAGCTACTGGCTAAGAATTACCTGGGAGGATTACCACATCATATGTAGATGCATATAAAGGTAAACAAAACATCTGGCATTTTCTCGTTAACCTGGTCTGGTTCTATGTAGTCTGTCCAGTTTTTCACCTTGGAGGCATTCACTCTATCATCTTGTGTTCTGCAAAAGTCAGAGACCAGCCTTCCAGTAAACACAGCCGTTAAGTACAAGTTACTCATTTTCAGGAGATATTTCTGAGGAGATTAAATATAAGATAATCCACTTATATAAGGAAGGAAAATGTCAAATGAAAAAAGTGAAAAAAAAACAGTGTTTCTGTCCATACTTGCACTGTGAGAAGACAACTCAGCGCTATGGGTCTGAAAGGATGTGCAGCTGTCAAGAAGCCCTTACTGAGAAAAGGAAACAGACAAAAAGAGAAAATTAGCAAAACAAACAAAGAAGTTGCTGTTCTCAGAATAACAGACTGACCACCCCAGAGTCCAGACCTCAACATCACTTAACGTGGTTGGGCTTGCTTGGACTGTGAGACTCAGAAAATACAACCAACTTCTAAGACTGAACTTTGGAGGTTTGTAAAAATACCCCTGCAGATTTCTTTGAGAAACTAAAAGCAAGTCTCCTGAAAAGAATGGAAGCTGTAATAAAGGCAGAGTGGACACAATAAATACTGAAATATCTGATATTACATTTAGTTGTTGGGGCTTCTGTGTCATTTCCTTTTAAATATATTTTCTGCTTTTTTCCTGATGCTGAATAATTAACTGGAAAGCTAAAAAAGTAAATGATGGGTGGTCTCTGAACCATACTGCATGTTTGATGACATTCCAGTCATACTGTGATAATTAACTGTACTTAACTCTTGTCCCTCTTAGCCTGCTGCCCATCGACATGTAGGAATAATGTTTAAATCCTCACTGTCCGGCTATTTATTCTTTCTCCTTGGCAATTCACTTGGTTTATAGAGAGAGAGGAAGAAGAAAAGAAAGATAAAATCTCCCCAAAGTACACTGCTGTCTTTCAGGATTGTTGAACCACTATGCACTCAATAGGAGCATGCATTAATCTTCAGTACACTTGTTAAATGTCACCTGAGTTTACACAACGGGCCCCTTATAAGGTCGCTAATCCCTATGGACCGGATCCATAGGGGCTTCACTGTTAAAAAGAACCGTTTTAGGCTACCACAATTAACTGGGCTAATACAATTTGAATGAAGGTGCAATGAAATGGGATAAATCTATATTTGAGAACCCTGCAGCTAAATCTATTACAAAGCCTATTAAGTGCTTATAGTGTGGCCTTATATGTATCACAGTAACTCCCAGACTACTTTAAAATGAGATACTACGCAATTAAACCAAAGCTGATTTTAAGACTACTTTGAGAACTCCCACAGGCTATAATAGTGACAGTAATTAAGAGAGAGACACCTGGTACACCTCTACATGAGACTCATTTCCATTTTGCTGTTCTAGAGCTGTTCATATAAATGATGTTCAAAAGTAGCAACTGTTAGGGCTGCATGATAGGGACATAATACTATGTTGTGGTTATACTGCTATGTACTATGACTGTAAAATGGCTTGCAATATATTACAAACACATGAATGAACCCTTGATAATGACCAGCCTGCTTTATTTTGACCAAACCTACAGTTCAAAACACTAACCACTGGGAAACTTTCATGATGTTCTTTAGTATACTTCAGAGAAAAGCACTTTTAGCACAACATCTGACTGATGTAAGCTCTTTGTGTGAAGAAAACCTGGAGAAGAATTCCAACCAGACTGCACTAAGGGTGCTGTAAAGCAGGAGGAAAAGTCAAAGTGAAAATATATTTCCCTGACAAACTAATATGCTGGTACATCATCCACTGAATGGGTAAAAACACTTGTAGAAAACAATGACTCCTCATCGTCATTCACTTTTGTAACAGTTAGCTGTGGTCCTAGCTCATTAGTTCATCTGAAGAGGCAGCATCTATTATTCATCCAAACTGAAAATCTACCGTTTTCCCTTAGCAATTTTTCCCTCAGCTAATAAGATGTTTTGAAATGTATTTCCTTTTTTTGTCATTGTTTTTTTTCTTTCCTTGTTAAAGAATGTGTTAACATTTGTCAAACAATTTATTGTCCAGTCCTCGCATCCATGCTAAAAGTCATGCTTTCTCATTGTAGCACATGGACCTGAAGGGCCAGATGATCTTCATGTCTGAGATGAACGCCATTCTGTTCCTTGGCTCTCCGTGTGTGGACAAGCTTGAGGAGCTGACGGGCCGAGGCCTTTACCTATCCGATATCCCTATCAACAATGCTCTTAGGGATGTGGTGCTGGTGGGAGAGCAGGCCAAGGCCCAGGACGGCCTGAAGAAACGTCTAGGCAAGGCCAAAGCAGCTCTGGAGCAGGCACACCAGGCCTTGGAGGAAGAGAAACGAAGAACTGTGGAGCTCCTCTTCACCATCTTCCCTGGTAACGTGGCCCAGCGCCTGTGGCAAGGCCTCCCTGTGCAGGCCAAGAAATTCGACCGAGTGACAGTGCTGTTTTCAGACATCGTGGGCTTCACGGCCATTTGCTCACGCTGCACGCCCATGCAGGTGGTCACCATGCTCAGTGAGTTGTACACCCGCTTCGATCGCCACTGTGGTGAGCTGGATGTGTACAAGGTAAGCTATGGTAAAGCTCACTTTTAGAACCATGGCCCAAAGCCCATCATATTTACTAAGCTTTTCATGGATGTTTGAAGTGAGGGTTTCATCATTAATAAAATGTGCACGATTTATGCTTAATATAGTTGATCAGACATGTTTGCTTCTTTAGTTTTGCACTGGAGCTATAAGCCTAAAGTAGCTAACAAGTAATGGAAGACTGTAGCTGTGTTTAGCACTGTACAAACGTAATGCGTGCGTAAATCATCTCAAACTTGCCTCAAACTGTGTTGCTCATAAGACTTGTTTATGTGATTGCTGACACTTTATGGCAGATCAATAAAATTATTATAATATTTAGCCTTCAAGGTGGCAGCTACTACTGTTTGTAGGACGGCAGAATATTTTGATAATTTATTATAGATAACAGCATGACATATAGTGTAGGGGGCTACTATCCCACTTCTGACACCAGCAAAGGTGTCAAAGGTAACACACAGCAAAAATGGGCTAGTCATTTTCTTCCCTGGTGTCAGGATAGCCAATCCATTAGTGAAAGCTGGAGCAGCAGCAGTAGTAATAAACTTCATAGGTGTTCTGATTCGTCGAGAGGTCATTTCAATGGGCAGAAAAAATGCATGGTAAGTGTCAAGTGTGGTGTGAGGCCATGACATTAGGCCTAATTGTGTGAGCCTCCGGTATGAGAGTTGACAGCCATCCTGCAACTTTTAAAGACGTCCATCAGTCTGGTACTTACCTACTAGCTACTTTTACCTAATGATTGCATGCTGGGCATTCTAAAAATAGCTACTGGGTAGTTTTCAAAAGTGTCTCAAAAGAGCTACTATAAACATTATGCTTCACCATGACTGCTACTACTGTTTTAGCTACATCACTTTTTTGTTCATTTTTATAGATAACAGTATGTCATGCAGTCTCAGAAACCTCATAAGCAATCCTATTTAAGATTACTCAACTAGACACATTTTCATCCAAGTGTGTGATGATTAGCAACATTTTAGCTCTAGTGCAGCTCCCAATAAGCAAATTTCAGACACTACTTCAAAAAGAAGAAAATACAGTATTCCTATTTCTACATGCTCTCTATTGTAGGACCTAGTTGCACAATGGTCCTACCTTTTGTGCTCAGCATTCTAAGTCCTAGATGCACATTTTGCCACCAACCACAAACCATTACCTCACAAGTTTAACTCTTAAACATGTCTTGACAGACTGGCTACATTTCAGATGAGCAGAAAACTGTGTACATTTGATTTTAACCAAAGAGTTGCTTTAAATGCTTTCAGTAGCATAGTTTTGAGGTCTTCGTTATTTCCATTTTTGCGTAAGGGGTTCAAGAACCATCATTAGATGTACAGTTGTACTGACACTATCTTTATACCAATCCAAGAGGATACATTTCATCAAGACTTGGCAATAATGTTGACTTTTTCAAGTTTACAGTAATGATCAAGTTCTGATTTAACATTACATCTTTGGTTGACCATGAAGAGATCTGAACCTTTGTAATAATGCACTCTGCTAGGACCAGTATCACTCAATGTCGAAGCTTATGCACTGTTAAAATTCATATTTGAAACTGTTTTAATTTTTAAGACTACACAGAGCTCTGGTTGAATTGTAAGGAACAATACAGAAGGTAAGATATTTTTATGTTTAAATGGTCCAAAACAATACTCTTCACTTTAAGAAGAGTCTGAAAGAGTTCTTAATAGGGTTTTGGGCTTTGACTACAGCAAAATACTGGCTCACAACCACATTTTCATTAGGAATCAGTCTGTGTCATTCATAATTTATGTTCTCAGCAGTGTGATTTGTTGATCTTGGAAGCATAAAGGCAGCTCAGCATTGTTTTCTGCTTGATAGATTTATATCCAAACTTGTCCATTAATTTAACTTGCCTCCACTTAATCATAGCTGAAGTGTTGTACCAAGGAAACAGTGACGAGTTGCAACAACTGAATTAATGTCTTGCAAATTCGTGACAAAGCTATGTTGATATCTGTTTGATCAACATAAATTTTGCTGTTGGGATAGAAGCTGCATGAGTCCCTAGGATGACTGTTTTTGGTATACTGTGAAATCCGCCCTCCACTCAAGATTTCATAGCAAACGAAGAGAAAAAGAACTTTTGGCAAGCTCTCTCGAAGACCCTACGAAGTCGAAAACCTACGCGGTCCTTTCCCCTTTATCTTAGCCAAAGTGCTTTAGTGAGGACAATCGTTCATCAGCCGATCTTTCAGCCAACTGCTCGTAATCTGCTGGGAGGTTGGCTAATGTAATCAGTGTCTCTGCTAAAGTAAAACATCTCCTCCACGCTGGAGATGGATCTCTTGTAAAGGACGGCAGAGGAAGAGTTTAGTTTGGGACGCCGCTTTGCTTACATTCTTACGGAACGGCTCTGTCCTAAAATAGATCTCCCTCTTAACCTGGCAGCGTCGTCTGCCAGCTGCTCTTCTATGTGGGGAACCAAAAACCATGGAAATCTGTGTTGGAAATCTGTGTGGCTTGAGCTCAGGAGATAAGGAAACGTTTGAATGAATCTGTTCAAAATTAACTTGTAATACATATGTAATGCTCTCAGCTGTGTTCATGGTGCACCAAAGAAGTATCATGAAATCAGACCGGCAAAGTGTGATATTCTGCCCATTGTAATCTTTTTGCACACTTGAAAAATTAGCATTAATCCCTAGGTTGTGAAATTCATTTTGTTGGATTGCGATTAGGATTACTCTTTAGTGTCAGGTTTTTTTTCCAAAAAAAGTTAGGACGCTGTGCAGAATGTAAATAAAAATAGAATGCAATATGCAAATCATGTAAACCATATTTTTAAAGGAAAATACTACAAAGACAACATACCAATTGTTGAAACTGAGAAATTTTATTGTTTTTTGAAAAAGATATGCCCATTTTGAATTTGATGCCAATAACACGTTCCAAAAAAGTTGGGACAGGGTCATGTTTACCACTGTGTTTCATCACTTCTCAGTTTCATCAATTTCTCAGTTTCAACATCTGATATGTTGTCTTTGTACTATTTTCTATTAAATATATGGTTTCAATGATTTGCACATCATTGCATTTTGTTTTTATTTACATTTTGCACAGCGTCCCAACTTTTTTGGAAATGGGGCTGTATATAGCAGGATTCAACGTTAATGTCTGCCATGAATGCTGAATACTGAAAGGAGTGGTGATGTGTTATTCATGAACGAGTTGGCTCTTTTAGGCGAATGTTGGGAGATGACTTCCCTTTTTTTTTTGGGGGGGGCGGTAAATTTAGACAAGATAATGCCTAGATGTTATGACACTGAAGCTGAAAATCAAAGGACCCCTTCCTGGATCTCATTGAAACATGACGGCTGCAGCCCCTCATTATCCCCAACACCTGCTGTGGTTTCATCATCAGTTTGTCTCTGGTTTTGTTTTTGGCAGTTTTCACGTGATTCTTAGCTGTGTTTCCAAGTGTGCCTCATTAGTTCCTAAGATTTTTTACTTTTTTCCTGCCTTTGATGGTTGATGGCTAGTTGATGGATTCGCCTGTGTTTTGCCCATGTGCTGATCCCTGCCTCTCTTAATTCATCCAGAGAGGCTGATTCAGTTTTCATATAAATAACAAACATAATGGATTTTTTGTTAATTAGTTAATTAGGAGGTAGACTAAGGTTTTATTGAAAATTAAATGATAAATAATATCACTGTCTAAGCTAATTTTGAAAACCAAAAAACTGTCTGTGCTACTGAATGAAGAAGCCAATTGATCTGACTCACTGAAAAGAGCCAGAAAAGCCCATCACTAGAAAACAGTGTTTTGAAAAATCTCCCTGTCATTTCACATGTGTAAGCGAAAAAGGCCACTTGCCTATCAGGAGCAGTAGACATGTTTGTGAGAATACAATGGTAGTTCTTAATAATAATACAGAAGACACACACACACACACACACACACACACACACACACACACACCTCTCTGTCTCTTGCACTCTCTCTCTGTTTTGCTACAGAAGACTAAAGCAAAAGCTTTAAAGCACAGATAACTGTTTTGTTATGACTGTTTTTGCACCAAAGAATAAGAGAAAATTTAGATGTTACATATAAGAATAAAGGTAATAATAGCCTTTATTTTAAGAATAAATTAATAGTTTTTAAGTAATTTGTGTATGTATGCTTATTTATATTATAAAAATGTTTTTAAAGGCAAAAATTTTCAGGACCCTATAAACAGTACAGACTCTCAGTCCACTTGCTGACTTCACATTACTGTGATATTTGTTTCTCAGTTGAAATTCTTGTACTACCATATTATGGAATCTCAAAAAAGACAAATGTCTGAAACGAACAGGCTAAGTCAAAAGTATAATTGAACACAAAAGACAGATTTGAAAAGGGAAGATTTTAATTATTTAATCGAACACAACATTAACATTTTATATATATATATATGTCTTCCTTCTATCATTTACTGGCTATTTATGTTGTTCACCTTTTTACCTTTCCTGATTTCTTGATTCTGGTTAAATGTTTCAGCATTATTTTACTATGTTTATGGCTTGCATGAACAACTGGCATGCTTGTGATTTTATGACTGAATATTTTACAGATTCTAAGCGGTAACTTCATTGTCAAGAACACATCCTAAAACAGAATCAGCACCTTTCCACGCACTATTTTTAGTTTAGAAAGCTTGCGCATCATTGTTGCACTGCTGTAAAATGCCACCAGAAACATCGCACTTCGGCCACAAGTGTGAGCACTGTTGGTTTAAAGGGTTAATGAACTTGTTTTTCGTTTGCTTTCCTCTATTTTAGGTGGAAACCATTGGAGATGCATACTGTGTTGCCGGAGGCTTGCACAAAGAGAGTCCGACCCACGCTGTACAAATTGCTCTCATGGCCCTAAAGATGATGGAACTGTCCGATGAGGTCACAACCCCCATGGGGGAGGTCATTAGGGTCAGTGTCACATCACATATTAGAGTCTTTGTCAGTTACTAAACAGAGAACACAATGAAAAATTGATGCACTTAATTTACTTTATTCGAATGTGAACATTATTTTCACATTAATACAGCATACTATATCAACCCAGGTTTGCCTCTCAGTTTACAGTAACTTTGTTGATGTGTATTCATGTGGAAACTATGTACACATCTGAATAAGGTAAATTCAGTGTGTCAGTTTTTTTTCCAGTGAAGTTCTGTCATAATCTGTCTTTTTATCTTTCAAATGCCATTTTCATATTATTGCAGGTTATAACTTTATGGCCAAAAGTATGTGGACAGCCCTTAATTATTAAGTTCAGGTGTTTCCACACTCACTGCTATCAGATGTGTAAAATGAAGTGCATATGCAGTCTCCATAGACAAACACTGGGCCACTGGATGCACTGGAAACATGTTCTCTGGAGTGGTGGATCACAACCTGGCAGTCCAGCAGATGAATCTGGGTTTGGCCGATGCCAGAAGAATGCTGCCTACCAGACTGCATAGTGCCAACAGTAAAGTTTGGTGGAGGAAGGATAATGGGCTGTGGCTGTTCTTCAGAGTTTGGGCTCAGCCCCTTAGATCCAGTGATGATTGATGTTAATCCTACAGTATACAAAGACATTTTAAATAATTATATTTTTTCAACTTCATAGCAAAGGCCTGTTAGTGTTCCACCATGACAATGCAAGCTCCATAAAGATGGTTTGAAGTTTGATGTGGAGAAACTCCAGTGGTTTTCACAGGGCCCTGACGTCAACCCTACAGACCATCTTTGGGATTAACTGGAACATTGTGAGCCAGGCTTTCTCCAACATCAGGGGACCTCACAAATGCTCTCTTGACTGAATCGGCACAAATTCCCACAGACACACTCCAAAATGTTGCGGAAAGCCTTCCCAGAAGAGTTTTAAAAGTCTTTTAAGGAGGGCCAACTCCATATCAATGCCCATGACAGGTGTTTACATATTTGTGGCTATATAGTGCTGTTACGACCCATCTAGGGTAGGCCGCAACATAAAAGTGTCTCCCCCAACTTCCCATTACCAACCCGCCAGACCAATCACACTCTAACATGTTTTACTAGTCTCATACCTCTCCAAATCAACTAACTTACCTGAACAAAACAAAAGAAACAAAAATACAAAAACATAACTCCCTCAACAAAAACAAAGACAAAGACAAACCCCAAAGAAAATAAGGCTACACCCACTACAGCTTTCAATCTAGAAGTCTTTTAAGAAAAGGCTTCACATACCACCACGGTGGACAGTTTCACACAATACATTAGACTAGCAACTACACAGAGAGTAGGCCCAACTTCTCCATGTTGGAACTTCTTGGTCTGGCAACAACATGAAGGGAAGGAGGAAGAGCCTTGAGGAAACCAGTCACCAGGCTTATAAGCTCTTGCCCCGATCTCAGCACAGCCAATCAGCGCGCCATTACACCTCCCTCAGCAGCAGCACCTGGTGGCTATGATAGACGGGAGAGCAGGAAGCTGACGAGAACTGAAGCTTGTGCAAGAGAGGAAAGAAAAAAAAGACATGTAAATAATACGTTGTTGGACGTAACAAGTGTACTTTACACCTCTTACGCATGGTCCTTTATAGTTCAGTTTGCGAGTGTTGAAACAATTATTTGCTGTGCTGATTTCAGACATTTTAAATTCCATTGCACAAGCTAATTTCCCACAGGACCTTTTCTCCCAAATGTCTTACTGTTCATGCAGCATGTATCATCTAAATACAGCATGTTCAGTTTATTCATAGCAGAGTAACTGACAAACAGGATTAATTTTTTTTTCCCTATTTATTTATTTGTTATTTGTATTTTTTCAGAAGACAACAGGCTCTTACGTTTTGGCACTAAAAAGACGCTGTGAGGAGAATGGCCTGCCGAGGCACAGAAGTGTTCTCACGGTTTGACTAGAGCGAAGAGAGCATGAGTTATGATTTTCGTCCTGCTAAATGACATTGTCATGATTCATTTGTTAAACACCGTTAGATAAGTAAATGTCCAGAAAGCTTTTCTGGGATGCAATCTATCAGTGAGATATAGATATTACATTATCCTGGACAGACAATTTAAACTCAGCCTGACAAACGAGATATTAGGTGAACCGTGACGAGCAGCTTTTGTGATTTACGGAAGTCACGTGCCTTAACCATCTTGCTGCTTTTACATTTTACTCAGCTTACTTTATCATTCAGATCTGACTTGTCTGACTGCTTAAGCTCCACAGTTTTATGGAGCATTAAGGGTTTTCTGTTAGGGCTGAATGATGGTGGACAAAAGACCAGATTGTGATTCTATTGCTATGTATTACGATTGTGATATGCTTAAATGGTAAAGATTATCTTGCATTATTTTGACTTGGACATTATTTTGACCAAGATTATTTATGGTTGTTGGATCATGTGGATGCCTTAATTCATCAACATACTTCCAGCACACTCATTTGTGATTGGAGGATACTCACAGCACAAAATGAACAAATTGTTGATTGATTAGAAAGTGACGAATGACCTGAATGGCTCTGTTTACATCTTAATGATTGAATTACACAGAAATTCCAATGTAATTGCTCTGTAAGTTGAATTTAACAGATACTATGTCATTGAATGTTCACTAAAGACAAGGTGAACTTCTACGGAGTATCTGGAGTGGATTATTAAAATTAAGTTGCTTTAATGATCATAATTATCGTGTTTTAATGATCGTGTTTTGAATGTCAGTGATTTTGATGTATTCATCTATTAATCTGTGCTTCTTAGATGCGTATTGGCATCCATTCTGGCTCCGTTCTGGCTGGCGTGGTTGGTGTAAAAATGCCCCGATACTGCCTTTTTGGCAATAATGTCACTTTAGCCAACAAGTTTGAGTCCTGTAGTCTACCAAGGAAGATCAACATCAGCCCCACCACCTACAGGTACAGCAGCTGGCAACCAGCACATCAGCATTTTTCTCATTTGGTCTAAACACTTAATGACAATTCTATTTCTGTTTCTTAGTTTCCATTCTGTACTTCTTCATTTCCATGTGGTCACACACATTTTGTTCTACCACCCTTTCTTCAACTGATGTAAATGTATATCTTTAATAGAAATTTTAAGAAATTTTTACAAAATTCTGATAACTGATAATACCAACTGAGATAATTAAATGATTAATAGACTCCAATGGATTCCCTCAAACAGTGTTTTAATAATCATTTCAACAGCAAATAACCCAGAAAATAGTATTTTTTTGTGTTATTTTACTTTAATTTTACTACCACCAGCCTAGTGGTACACACAGTACCGTGCAAATGTCAGACAGCAGCCATCATTTATTTAATGTACAGTCAAAATGGTCATTAAGTGCAAGTTATTCATTTTTCAGTGTCTGGAAAAAAACAGGAAAACACATTTAACAGAAAGTTACACAGGAGAAATATAGTTTTTAATATTTACTGTTTGTTCATATTTATTATATTTAGTGTTTAGTGTGTCCACTCTTTGCCTTGATTACAGCTTTTGTTCTTTTCAGGAGACTTGATTTCAGTTTTTTAGAGAAATTTGCAGGGATATTTTTCCACATCTCCGAAGTTCAGTCTTAGATCTTGGTTGCATTTTCCTCTTCTCACAATCCAAATAATTCCAAACACATTCAATGTTGGGGTGGTCAGTCCATTGTTCTGAGAACACTAGCAGTTTCTTTCTTTTCACCTATTTTCTTTTCTCAATCAGAACATCCGTTCAGATCCATAGCGCTGAGTTATCTTCTCACAGTGGAAAGGTGGACAGAAACACCTGTAGATTTTTTAAAAATCCGAAGAGTAGAGCTTGATTTTCTCCTCTCTCTAAAAGATACAAGCTTTATAAGTGCCGTTTATCTGATGGGGACAGTTTTGGTGGCCTACCAGGTCTTGCATGGTTGTTAGGAGTCCTATTTCCTTCCATTTCCTCTGTAGCTTTTAATCACTATTTGGAAAAAATGGTGTTTTTTTCACAAAAAAAATTTCCTTTGACTTTCTCTTTCCTTATAAAAGTGAAGCATCTTATACCTAATCTCCTCAGAAAATATCGCCTGAAAAAAAAACAAACTTGTACTTAATGGCTGTTTTGACTGGTCAACTGATGCAGAACATGAAAGTAGATTTATTAGAGCACTTTTCCAAATACACAGCGCATGCAAACTACTAAATTTCATTCAACACTGTTAGGCTCTCCTCTGCCAGATGATGTGAGAAATTACCTGCCTTTTGAAGCTGTGCTTTCTGCCCTGTCCGCCCCAGGTTGCTAAAAGATCGCCCCGAGTTCACATTCATCCCGCGGTCGAGAGAGGAACTTCCGCCCAACTTCCCCTCCGACATCCCTGGCATTTGTTACTTCCTCGAGGCGTCCGATCGAAGGACAAATGACACTCGCAGAGACTCAGCAACAGAAACATAAATAGTTGCTCTCCGACGACAAACACTCTACACAGTGGGTTGATTACTGCCTGGTGCTGTACGCAGTATATATCTCTTGAGCTGAGCCAGAGGTAGCAAGTAATTCAGCAATAGAAAGTTGCCAAAAAGTGTCCGAAAGAAAAAAAATGGCTTATTTAAAAAGGGGTTGACTAAGCACTGTTTATGTTTTGCTTCGTAGGATTCTTTCTTGAAGCCACCTCAGACTTTGGGTCACAGGTATTATGCAGAGCATCTGAAAGACTGACCATGTCCTAGTACTTTCTGAAGGGCCACTTTCATTTGGATTTCTCCACGGAAACCATCCAAATCGTACTTTGGAAAAAGTCTAAAGTCTCTAAGTTTGAGTACTTCCAAAAAAGTTTCTCTCTGTTATTGCTTGTACTGATCCTCCTTAGATATGCACATACGCAGTGAAATCACCAGTGTTTTATTAACTCCAGAGCTAAAAGCCACAGGAGTTCATTGAACACTAGTCATTTTTACTTATGTAAAAGTGTCAAAGTGAAAATAATCATTTTAACACTCTGAATACAGCACATTCGACTCAATGTCTGGATCACGTCAATGTATTTGCTCACAGTGGATGAAAAGTCACAAAATCACAGTAGGCCTAACTATATCACAGCATAGCTTGACCACAATGAATGTTCAATTATCCTGAAAATATAAACATTTATAATGTTTCATTGTGACTTTTTTGTATTGTGATAGAGCTATAATAAACATTGTGACTACTCAAGATGTGTCTTTTGATACACTTTTTTTTATTTTCTAAATATATTCATAATGAGAGTTGGGATGTAAACAAAGTTGTTCAGAGTGAAATGAAATGGTTCACTGTAGAAAAACATACCAACTTTGATTTCTTTACAGTAGTGTTGATAGGAACCAGGGGCTGCTATTTCTACAACACATAAGTCTCCAAAGAATCTGAAAAAATGCATTTCTTTGGGGACTATTTTACCTTATGACACGCTTGTATCTCTCTGCTATAAATGGACTAACCTTTTTAAAACTATCATAAAACATCAGACATCAGGCAATAAATTTGCAAGTATTTAATGTAATAACTTTCTGTGATTTAGAGGCATTAAACTCTTCAGAGGTCTGGTTCCTATCACCATTGCAACTCTCCATTCTGGCTCAGCAAAGTTCTCGAGAATTTAGATCTTAACAATTTAATAATCCAGAATTGCTAAAATAAATTGTGGAATTCCCCTTTAATGGGTAAAACATACGATTCCTTATGAAATGCTGTTGATCTAACACCAAGATACAAATTACTAGGGCTTTCACAGGTACTCGATAAAACTAGACTAGTTATATTTTAAATAGCCACTTATATATATATATTTTTTTTGCCATGTTTTTACAAATCTTTTAATGTGAAGTCCTAGTTTTAAGCATTTCAGAATCTTTGAAAGCTTCTTTGTGGGTTGTTTTTGTTTCAGTTAAGTCAAATTTTTATTGTTCGGCCTTTGTTAAAACTGATTTTATTTGGACGAGGCATCTAAATAATTACTTATAAAACTGATAGTGGCAGCCGTAGGAATGACTAACACATTAAAAATATAAAAGCAACATGAACGTTCACTGCAGTTTTGTGGTCTTCATTATCATTTTATATCCTTATTCACAGTCATTAACCTACAAGTGATAATTGTAGGCCTATTATTTCAGTTCTGTAATCCTTGAATTGATATCTGGCTCTTCAAGGTTATTGCAGGTTATTGCTAATTGAGTAAAAATGGCCTTTCCCACTATGGTAGAAATGTCTCAGATAAACTTTCCACAGTGATGTTATTATCTGAGGAAAGAAAATTCCAGAAGAAAGCCTCGCACAACCTTTTGTTCCCCTCACAGCATTAAACAGTATAATCCGGTTGGAACTGGTGGTGCAGTAGAAGGGAAGGAGCAGGAGTAAATTCACACAGCGCTCCTTCAAAGCCATAAAGAGAGGATATGCCTTGATAAGCAATGACGAGGATTACTCAACTTTCATCGTTCAAAAGTTTGGAATTACTGTTCATAATAACAGAAAAGCAAATTTGAAGTAGCATGAAGACATCGTTAAAGCTTCAAACCGAACCAGTCACTCAATGCATAATGAAATCAGTCCATTTATGAAAGCTAACGTGCTAAACCAGCCTGTTTTAAAACTGGTGTTTTGGTAAAGAAAACCAAGTCATTTCATACGCTCACCTATTCAGCCAACAACAGTTTAGCTCCGCCCCCTTATACTGTAGTTATAAGGAGAGTTTCATCCTGGCCTGCCTTTTTAATAAAGCACAATGCACAAAATGAAGGTGAGCCAATGAGAACAGAGCACATTTACATACATCAGTCTTTAAGGCGCAGTAACAAAAACAACCTGTTTTGTTCTAATAATAAAAAGAGGTTGGAAAGCGAATTATGACTGTGTTTGGAGTGTAAACCCACACTAACGTCCTCAGGACCGCAGAGGGGAAAAAAATATATAATACAAGAAAAATGTAGGATATTGGCCTTAATAGCTGTTGTTATTTTATCCAACAATAACTAAAACAGTGCAGACTGTATAAATAATATAAGGTGGACACTAGAAAGTAAAATTATAAGATTTTTTTTTTACATGAAGACGTTATTAAATGATACATCTACAAGCTTTTCGATTTTCACAGCTTCTCAGAGATTTCTTGATTAATGTCTAAATAATTGCTTAGAAAACAAGTTGGTTTTATATTGATAAAGTCAGCCATTCCAAACTTGACAGGTTTAGGAACCATATACAACACATTCATAATGCAAAGAACCGTTTAAGCATAAACTGGCTCTAATTAGAACCATTGCCTTTATTATAGAACCCTTGAAGAACCGTATTTTTAAAGCGTTTACATTTACAAAGCTTAGCTTAAAAAGCTAATAAAACAAAACCGGTTATACATTTTCAGCATCGTAACAAATAACATAAGAATTATTCCCAACAAGTTATGAAAGGCGTGGAAAATTATAAACCAAATTATTTCTATACGTTAATATCACCCGCTGACTTACTGCACATGCGCAGCCTCATTCTCACGCGCGGACAGATTTTGACGGCACCTCGATGAGTTTCACTGGAGGCTAAACGTGATTGGCTGTCCGTGTACGGGACCCGCCCCACAGTGGCGCATCCTCGAGCTCTCATTGGCTACGGCGCGCGTCAATCAACCCGGAACCAGTCACAGGAATGGTGGGTTCCCACGTTAACGGCTGCCAGCGCTATCCGAGCTGCCGCTGGGTGATTTAATTTAATATCTGGGCGAAAAAAGAAACCGAAGGAGCTGTCAGATCATGGTAGGTAACGTTCATATATTCGCTAAATTATACGACAGCCTTTATACGTAGATAGCTGTTTGAGAAGCGGAGTGTCGAGAGCTTTATTTTGCACTATAGGACACGGTTGCATCGCGCATAGGCGAATACTAACGAGGCTGAAGTCAGCTTCTTATTCGCGAGATACTTCCCGTTCCACCTTAAATGATGCGGTAGTTACACTCTGGCGCAGACGCCAGAACGTAACTGCTGCACTATTTAAGGTGGAACGGGAAGCCGACTTCAGCCTCGTTAAAAATTAGCTGTAAAAATATTCATTTCACAGAGACAAGCATACGATAGGCCGTGGTTCTTGTGTTTTCAGTAGCTTTAGTCAGGCTGTTTGCTGTTTACTGAATTGAAAAGGCAGTACCGTTTAGCCTACATGCTACACTGGGGCTGCCACACATTTCTCTCAGTGAATGTAAACAGTTTACGGTTAAGAAATGCTCCTTATTAATCTGCATGTTAATGCTAATGCTTATCTTTCTGTTTTATGCAGTACGGCTTTGTCAACCACGCTTTGGAGCTTCTGGTGTTAAGAAATTATGGGCCAGATGTGTGGGAAGATATCAAGTGAGTATTAAGGGGAATTTCACCGTTTTTTCAATATTACTGCATAATTAAACCGTTACGATGTAAACACTGCCATCCAGAGAGGCTGGATGTGTGAATGTAATATTCTAGAGAAACTCACTAACTCAGAATTGTTTATAACAGTGGTGAGATCAACCAGATATCTGAAGTGTTTAATAACTCTTAAAGCTGCTTTAAAGAAACTTAACTGTTAGCTACTCCACTCAGTTAGAGGTGGGTGATGTGAAAAAAATGTCATATCACAACACTTCATAAAGTTTTCACAAATGATGTGTCACGATATACATTTTTTACATATATACAGATATACATTTGATGAATTGGAAAGGACAAAACTACCACATTTAAAAATACTATCAAAACTACGAATACAATCATTTATATTTATATATGTAATTTATTTAATATTTCACATACTATGCTGCACTAAATCTAATAGGACTAATTGGTTATTCTAAATGGGACTAACTGTGCTCTCTTTGTAATCAGACCTGCAGTTGGGAAGTGTTTTTTAAGTATTGACAATATCCATGATATTCTCAGAAATGCTTATTGTGGCATACTGAGACATCATTTATAATGATAATGATAAATACTGTCATATTGCCCAGACTTAAGCTCAATGGTTATGAATACACTGTCTCGGTTTTGGTCTAAAACGTAGATTTTTTTAAAAATACATGTATGGCAGAGAGGTACTTGTGTGGTGTTGTAAGGCAAAATAGCACCCAAACTACTTGTTTTCATATTTTATTATCAACATAAAATGTTAAATGAGTTCAATGGTTGAACCAGTTCACATTAAAATACTCTGAATGACTTTGTTTACTTCCCAGCCATGGGCGTAATTTCCAGGACCACCATCCCAATAATTAATTTTAGTTATAAAAACATTGTTTTTTACTAATATAATGAATTCTACTGTAAATAAATGTATTGGTATTACCAATACTGATATAATACACATTGACTGAAATATTATTGTAGCCTCCTCCTCCCAGGACTAATGTTATCCATTTGTCCCCTGATTGCACCCAGAGTAGTAAAAACGTTATTTTTATGAATTAATGCATGAAATAATAGCTACAGCTTATCCCTTTCAAACCCAGTAGAAAAAACTGACCACGATTGGACTTATCTAACAAGTGTTAGTATACCTTACTATATCACTGGAGAAGAAGGTCTCTTATTGGCTTATTGTCAAACCAACCATTAAAATCACTGCATATTTAGGCTGGAATTCTTGTTCTAAGACTAGGCCCCACCTTCTCAATAGCATTTTAGGATTAAGACCATCTTAACTGGTAGAGAGAGTGTTTAGTGTGATGCTCGCTTTACCATTAAAGAACTATCTTTGTGTTAAGATACTTTCGGGAAACACTGACTAGATTGTTATATTTTTGCATGTTTCCAAAAGCTGTTTAATAGTATTGTCATTTCTTTCACATAGCTGCAGACCCTCAGACACAAGGTCCTGGTCAACCCCTCCAGTGTTTTACACCCTTGATCTCAGCGACTGAAACAACATTTTCGAAAATTATGAAAAAAATCAGCGTAATTTCCCCTTTTAACTAAACTACCCCTAATATAAGATTTAATTAATTTACAATGAGCATGCATACCTCCTTTTCTCATACACATTTTCAGTCTTGTGGTCTGCAGGATTTGGGTTACATTTATGGCCCGTGTAGTTTCAAATCTCAAATTAGTAAACTGCACTGATTTTAGACTGTTGCAGTGCATAATGTAGCTGAATATACAGTGTAGTACAGTGGTCTCCAACCCTCCTCCTGGAGATCTGCTTTCCCGCAGAGTTCAGTTCCAACCTGCATCAAACATGCTTACCCAACACTGATGCATCTGATCCAGCCAATCAAGGACATCTGAAGCAGTTAATTAGCTGGAGCAGGTGTGGTCGATTGTAGCTGGAAGTCTGTCTGCAGGAAGGTTGATCTCTGGGTCCAGGCCTGGTCACTGGTGTAGTAGATACAACTGATGATAATGGATGCCAAAAAAGTGGTGATGTAGAAGTGCCCAGGCTCCCCTTTTAATTAGTTAATTCCGCTACCTTAAGGTGCACTCGTTGCTGACACAGGCATTTAATTATGCACACGAGCATTGCTTCCAGAATGGGACACCCTGGAGAAGCTTCACATGAGTCTAAGATCACCATGCCCAATGTCAGGCAGCAGATGGAGGGGTGCAGAGCCCCCAGTACTGCTGTGGAGCAGTGGAACTGTGTTCTCTGGAGTGATAATTAGTAACCATCCAACATCAGTAGCTGACCTCACTAATGCTCTTGTGGTGCATGAATGCAATCAAATCCTCACAGCAGTGTTCCAACATCTAGTGTAAAGCTGTCCCAGAAGAATAGAGGCTGCAGCAAAGGGGGACAAACCCCCTATGAATACCCTTGATTCCCGAAGAAACTTGTGAGAGTGAGCAGGTGTCTACAAACTTTTGGACATACAGTACACCAGGAAAATTCAGTTTTACTATGTGTCAGGCCAACAAACTAAAAGCAAAGGAAATAAATGAGCTCTTCTAAACTTAGAATTAATAAGTTGAGACAGTGGATTAGAATATTTATCTTCACTTTCAGAGAAAAATGTTTTCCCAAGAAAGCAAGACCCCTTGTGCAGTCGCCAGATGTTCAGTGTCATGGAGCGTGCACCTAAAATAGTCTTAAGACTCAGCATTATCCCAAGTTTATTCCCCCTCCCCAACTGCTAACCCCATCACATACACTTGTTTGTATTTCTATCTTTGTGGGATATTTCCAGTGACCGTAGATAATCTTTGCCATGCTCAACTCCAGCCTCAGAAATTAAAAGCTAATCTTTGTGGATGTTTTCTTTTTCAAATAAAATCTGCATTTTTTAATGTGAAAAAGGCATTTGTTTCTCATGTGGACCATTTATTTCCCCAGTTTTTTTCCCATTTTTCATGTTTTACATTAACCTTGCAGGGCAAGATGTGACCCTGTAACAAGAATATTTGGGAAATTGTGAGAAATTTTGGGCTAAATTTGTGTGGAAATGTAGACTTATAAGGGTGGGAACAAACTGAGTGTGAAATTTCTAAACCAGTTCAATCATTTGTGAAGACGGAGCTCAAAGTAGGGGTAATGGTACGCTCAGCTAAATTGTTATCAAACAGACAAGAAGCTTGTTGTTAGCCCATGTCACGTGAGTTAGCATGGCTAACATGAAAGTTGTCCCCAGACTGGCCTTGTTTTCCATCATCCTGGGGACAAATGGTCCTCATAAAGAGCTAAATACACATACATGCACACAAAGAGACCATCACCAAAGCGCATATACACAGCTGAAGTTTATTTGACTTCCTGGGTCCCCCAGACTTGTCTTAAAATTCCAGTCTTTTAGGGCAACAGCTGTTTCACTGTAAACATGTTTCATGGTGACTATATATCAACACCCTGTAGCTTTTTTTAATACGTTCAAAACTGCCAGCTGCCCGTTACATTGTGCAAACATTTTATGAGATGTTAGAATTACAGAGAAATGGTCCAAAGTGACATTTAGAGCAGTCCAAGATTAGATTAAATTTATGTGTTGTTTAAATTTTTAAATGTGCTGATAAAATTTAGTATAATGATATTTTTCAAATATACTGCAGCACTTTTGTGGTATACCGGTTCATCGGCAGACGAGGGAATAGCTGGTGTGTAGCACCAGAGTGATTGCGGCGCTTCCTCCTGTACTGCCTGAGAAGCCAAACGTCTCGCTGATCATTGCCTAGATTTCCAGAAAGACAAGATATAGTTTTATGTAGTTCATATGTATTTCTAGCCATTTTTTAAATGAAAACAGAACAATGAATAGAGCTTTAATCTGGCCTAAATTTCTCTGACCCTAAATACAGCCCAAGAATTTTCTCTCAAAGTCTGATCTGACCTGAACCACATCATTGACCTTTTGAGTTCGATCCCAACCAGCCCTAGAAAAATTTGTCCGGACCCCAAATCCAGTCCAAAATTGACCCAAGTCAAAAAAATTCTGCTTGAAACTGAAACAAACCAGTTCATCACCATCCAAAGTGCCAAATATAACCTGACAGGATAGCACTGCTTAAATTACACACAGCGACAATAAAAGCCATAATTAGATCATGGATAAATAAAATAAAGAGAACATTCATTCATAATAAAATCATTCATCACTTGTGTGAAAGCTTCAGGCCTAATGGAACAATATAAATGGTCCAAAATTGGTGGGAATAAAACCTTTTTACATTAAATTACAATGAAATTTAAAGATGTGTCCCTCTCTCGAAAAGTTACTGTTACAATATATAAAAATATAAATAAAAAGAAGTATAAAATTAAGCATAAATTCTCCTTAAATAATGAATGAATGTATTCATTGAGAACCTGCTTTTGAACAACATCCCATACGTTTTTAGTCTGGATAAACTTTCCATAATGCACAGCTTTATTTCCACCTCTTTTATTTTCTCATGCAATTTGGTGCTAAATTTATGAGTGGGTGACTCCAGCATGCCAGATTAAAAACTGTTTTAAGGTAAAGAAAGTAGAGGAGTAATAATGTAAGGAGTAACTAAAGCATGGAGGGGAACTGCAGAGTAAAATCGGTGAGCCCAAGCTTGTAATCTGAGCCTGATGCAAGCCCGGCACATAATTGAGAAATGACGTCCAAACCAAGAAATATTTCAAGCTGTAAATCTGAAGAATCTAGCAAATGACACATTGCAGTTTTGATATCTTTCAATATGTTGGTGTTACACCAATACCGACATACCATACAGACGATATATCACCCAGTAATAATTTCAGAGATACAAGTTTTTTTTTTACTGACAGTGCTGTTTTATTACCCTTGCGAGAAGGAGCCTATGTGTTTTGCCTTCTTCACTCCAATCTTCCAAGTTACTTCAGCGAGGCTTAATGTTTATCACAACGTTGGCTTATCTCTGAGCACTGACTGCTATGGACCTGATTAATGATATGATCTCCGTTCTATTTTTAGTGTGCGCAAGGCTGCGGAGCTTTTTTCTCATGCTGTTTTAACCTTGCTTTACGTGTTTAGCTAATCCGCTCATTCATCATGTCAGGTCAGCACTGCAAATCAGTGTTGTTTTTTCAGCTTGTCCCAGTAATAAGGTCATCTAGACCTCATTACTGACTTGAATTAAAACGTATTTGTTTGCGCGGCAGGTATTTTATATTTCTGAGTTTTGCACTGAGCCTTGTTGGAATGTATGCATTCTGTACTTTTTCCACATGTGGAGCGTTAACAAAAGTGTGGCCTACAGCAGAAACACAGTGATGTTAGGCCAGTCTTGTACGCCAGCATGATTAAAGGTATAATATGTAATGTTTTGTAGATTTATGACTGTATGTTTATATGCCAAAAAGAGCTATTTTCACAATTTTTTTTTTCATTTTTCTGCTGTAAATATTTACATCTAGTGGGTAAATTTGCTTCATCTATTCATCTGAAGCCTGACACAACATGAACACTGTACTCTGAGTGAGCAAAGCTGTAATTTAGCTGTAACCATCCATCCATCCATCCATCATCTAAACCGCTTATCCTTCTGGGTCACGGTGGGGTGCTGGAGCCTATCCCAGCTGTCATTGGGCGGAAGGCAGGATACACCCTGGACAGGTCGCCAGTCCATCGCAGAATTTAGCTGTAACCAACTTAGTTTATTATTGTAATTTAGACTAATAGTTAGCCAAATCTGCCTTTGTTGATCCATTCTGGACAGAAACAGCATCTCAAAACTAAGAAATGAATGGAATTATTGAAGGACTCCCCTGAGAATTCAGGATTAACTGCTTGTTTTACCAAAACTTCACTCTTGTTCTGCAGAAATGGCAATGTTATCACAGTAAGAGTTCCATAAAATTCTACTCTTAAATGTAAGTTCACAATGGAAATGAAAACTAAAATATTTATTAAAGACTCTGTGTTTGTAATAGTAGTGCTACTAATAATACTGATTATTTAGTTGTGGTTTGTGTCAACAGAAGAATTGCTAATAAACATTGACTAAGATGCACTTAAATGAATATATATATAATTTTTATTAATAATATATAATGTTTATATAATGTTCATGTATTTGAAAGTCATACCTAGAAAAATATATGGGACACTAGTCCTGTATTTTAGTTAATTAAAACATTAAGTGAAACATGAAATATAATGAAAAACTTCGTGGGGTTGAAATTCATCCTTATAAGCCCCCCTTGGAGAAGACCACCTGCTCCTGAGGGTTTTGAGTTTGAGACCTCTGGTGTACAGCATAGTTAATTTCTTATGAAACAGAATTATAGATGACTACAAGTCATTTTCAAACAGAAGAAGGATGAAGAAAATGTTATATCTTCAACATTCCCATCACTAAATATGACTAATAAAGGACAATATTTCAGAAAAATAGGGCTCGCACTAATCTCCAACATAACAAGGGAATCAAAAGGAGAATAAAGAAGAAAGCTGATGAAAGGGCGGCGACAATAAAAAAGAAAAAATTATCTCCACATGTCAGCACATCTGCATAAACACACCACACTGCACATAAAAGACAAAAGTCTCCAATAGGAGCAAATAAATGAGTGGAATATACTTTTAAAAAGAGATGAATGAACGTAAAGAGAGATAAGAGAGAGAGTCAGTAAATACCACAGTTTTCTGTCACAAACTGGAACAAACCAGTTAGACCCTCATGCAAATTATATGCAAATTATAATAAAAAAGGGCTTATAGCTTCTGATTCACAGTTATACAGAAAAGCTACAATGACAAGCCTGATATCACACTATCTCTCCAAAAATTTGAGGACACCTCATCCAGCATTTATTCTGAAATCAGTGATTAATAGGGATTTTGTCCTGCTTTGCTGCAGTAACAGCCTCTACTCTTCTGAGAAGGCTTTATACTAGATGTTGGAACACTGCTGTGGGGATTTGACTGCATTAAGCTACAAGAGCATTAGTGAGGTCAGATACTGATATTGGATGATCAGTTTTGGATCACAACCGCCCCTCCAACGCAACCCATATGTAGTGGATGGAGCTCCACTTGGCATTGAGCATAGTGAACTTAGACTAACCGTTCTATTCGTCAGAGCTTTTCTGTAGAGATTATACAAGGTAACAGTAATGGTTGCACCTTACATTGCAAAGCCAACAAATGTTGTCCTATAACACCAGCAGCCATAAATAGTCTCAAATAATCAAATAATAGCTGCTGAGTCACAAATAGCACAACGTCTTTCTCAAAGAATGGTCATCTAGGAGAGAAGTCGAGAACATGGCTCGGGTCATGCATATGTAAGCAGTATCCTCACCACTCACAGGGCTAAAGTGGGTTATTCTGCTACCATACAGCTTTAACAATAGTGTGTTCTCCTGTCGTCTCTCTGTTTGAGTCACGAACAACACCAGGAATATGTTTTACTTTAAATTAAGTGATTTAAATGTTCATAAATTAACACAATGGGTTAATTTATTGAAGCATTATTGATGCAACACTGCGGCCGCATCAAGGCACATTGTGCGCTCATGCATACATCTGGCCCAGCGTGTCCTATAATTTGGAGGTAGGAGGTTTTGTTGCACCAAAGTTTGCATATTTCCAAAAAAGCTAAATGAAGAATGGGTACACACGCACAAAAAAGCCTTTCAGAGCCTGTAACTGCTTTTGTCCATTACTAATGACAATATAAACACTTTTAACCTTTTACATGTTGAACACATCTATCTCTTGCAAGAAAAGCATGTCACTAAATAACCCACATTCAAATCTTCTATTAGGCGCGAGGCCCAGGTTGACGTGGAAGGACAGTTCCTGGTTAGAATTATCTACGAGGATGCCAAAACATACGATCTTGTGGCTGCTGCAAGCAAAGTGCTAAGTAAGTATTTAAGTAGTTTAATACTTAAATGTTTTTTTTTAATCTATACTTATTTAGTATAAAAAAAAAACAAATTACACTAAGATAATTCTATGCTAAGCAATGTGCTATGTGGTTTAATATTTGTTATTTTTCAAACAATTCTTCTTTCACCTTGTCCAAATATAATAAACAGCTTTGCAACTGTTTTTTCTCTTTTTCTGTGCAACTTGTTTACAATATAGAAAATACTGCAAAGTGTAAACAATGAAAGTGTGACAAGAACATCACAAACTGATCATATAACGTTAGAAAAAAAGGCATATACCTGTGTTTATATAACTTTTGTGATGTCTTTCTTTATTGCTGTGCCATAATATAAGCATATAACATAAACAAAACCAGCTTCTAAGACTGAACTTTGTAGGTGTGTAAAATATCCCTGCAGATTTCTTTGAAAGAAGTGAATGAATGAAAGGTTTAATAAAGGTTAATGGTGGACATAATAAAAAGTGATATATTTAGTTGTTGAGGCTTCTGAGTAATTTTAAAATATGTTTTCTGCCTTTTTTCCTGTTGCTGAAAAATTAATAACTTGCAGTTAAGGGCCATTTTTACTAAAACTTAAATAAATGATTGGTATGGTCCCTGAATTTTGTACAGTACTATACACTCAATGTAGTAACCGTGCACAACTTTTTTAGAAACCACCACCCCATTTATATTAGAAATTCATCTTACAGGTCCACTATATGGGTGTAGTTACAGACAAACTGTGCATCAGCAGATGGACTACAGGCTCTGAGCTCAACAAAGTGGAGCTACAGGGGCTTTCTAATAAAGTGTCTAGTGAGTGTATTAGTAACACATTACTAGTATAAAGTCTGTTGTGTATTAATGCTTGGTATGCTTTCTGCTGTAAACAGAAATGGATGCTGGCGATATTCTGCAAATGTTCGGGAAGATGTTCTTTGAGTTCTGTCAGGAATCCGGCTATGACACCATCCTACGAGTGCTGGGCTCCAACGTTCGGGAATTCTTGCAAGTAAGGAGCCACTGTTCATGTATCTGACCAAGAGACTGTACAAAAGACCTCTGTGTTTGGACATTTTGTTTCTCTGTTGCATCATGTTAATGTAAATAACATTTTAAAATAAACACGTGAAATAAGAATCTAAATCGACTAAGGGGGCAACGATTATTAGACTTAGTCGACTAAAATCGACGACCAAATTAGTTGACAACTAATTTAGTAGTCGATTAGTTTGGTGACGTCATTACAAGTCTTTCTCGCGCTCGCTAGGAACGTTTTGACATTACCGCTTACTGGAGAGTTAACAGCAGCGCGATGGCAGCCTCAAGAACAAAATCCTCAAAAGTGTGGGAGCTAAACTCAGAAACAAAGGTTGTCAGTTGTGCTGTTTGTATAGCCGACCTTAGCTGGCACGGGAGCACATCCTCCATGTTGGAGTATCTGAAGAGGAAACACATCGGCTCACTGGATGAAGAACATTAATCTCGGTAAGATACGCCGCGTCCCAAACTGCATACTAACCTAGCACACTAAATAGTGTGTAAAAATAGCGCATATAACCTACCATTAGAAGTGCACTCATTAGAGCAGTGTGTGAAGTGCAGAAGTGTGTGGTTTGGGACGTGGCGATAGTTATGCTAGCGAGCTAGTTAGCTAATGTTAGTGCTAAAAGCCGTCCTACTTAATGTTATGAGCTGAGCTGCAACATTTGTATTTTAAAGCGCATGTTCTCTGGAATCGTTAATGGAGTTTGAACAGAGAAGCGAATAACTATTATTCACAGAGACCCTGTTCACTTTCCAGATAACGTTTACACTTTTAAACACTGCATCGTCGTCTTAACGTCGAGGCCGCTGGTGCGTTCAAATTCGGCGAACACAGGAGAGCGATTACAAACAGGTTTCTGTTCTCCACGAACGCTTGGCTCCACTCGCTAACAGTTAAAGGAGGAAGTTCTCAGTGAACACACAGGGCAGCTGGACGAAGGGTTACCGTTGAAATGAAGTGTCTACACAAAATCGTTCAAATTTAACTGTTCATAGAGAAGTTCGCCACAAACGTTCTCCACTTTCCCATCCGCTTCATCAGAACGCATCTTCTCTACAGCGGGGAATATCCGCTCTCTGAGGAGGGGAGACTCTCACAGGAGCACGGAGAGATGCTGACTTTACTCCGTTTCAATAAAGACCTGTGACTGTAGAGTTTAGTTTCAGCAAAGTGTAGACAGACAGCAGAATGCACACAGCACAGACTGCACTGTTTACATTTAACATTTAAATTAAGATTGACTTTTTTATTTACTTGATTAAAGGAAAACGGATTTAGTTTGGTTATATTTTATTGCTGCTACTTTGCACATCCTTGGTTATAAATTTTGACAGGAAAAATATATTGGAGTTTTATTTTTTATCACTTGTATTAGCAGGAAAGTTCTTTAAAACAGTGAATTCTTGAATGTTATTCATCTTTATTGTATTCAAATGCATAAAACAACCTCCAGCTAAATTTAAAAGTTAATAGCTACATAAAAGTTATTTGGTAATGTAGTGATTCATAATCAAACTTCAGTAATCGATAGATTATTCAACTATCAAAACAGTTGTTTGTTGCAGCCCTAAAATCAATATAAAACAAATAGTCTCCACTGACAAGCATTTCATTTGGCACTTCGACCTAACTCTGCGCAAACAGTCAGAGCAATGTTCATAAATTTCCTGTGACCGTCGTTTCAGACCAAAAGCCCTCCACAGAGTTTTGTAATTGCAACTTAATGACATTTAATAAAATTCTGAATATATATATGTGTATATATACACACATAGAGTGGAAAAACTGCTGTAGTAATGTGGGGATTTTTTGGGGATTGGGAGACCTCTCTGGTGGAAATGTACTGATAGTTCACACAACATGGGGGAGGGGAAAACATAATTCCCATAAGAACTTTGATATTAGTATGTTCTTCTGCATATTGCAATTATACATTTCCACCAGAGAGGTCTCCCAATCCCCCAAAAATACATAGTGTAGCTTTAAAAATACTTCAATACTTCTAAATCTATGCGAGTTGATCATTAACCAAAGACAGATTAAAAAAAAAATAATGGAGTTAAAGCCAGGAAAAAAGCCAGATCAGGACTGTGTGGACATTTCAGACAGTGGCATAGCCATGGAGACAAAACCTACCCCAAAGCAGAAAGTGGTAGATATTTTTTTTACTTTTTTAAGCTTTTATTTTCTGGCAACAAACTGTAAATCTGTGTCACTTTGTTAGAAAATCTCTGCTCCAGCTTCATGCTCTGTATCTTGCGCAATTTTTTGTAATGTTTTTATGTGGACATAGACATTTTCAAAAATAAGTTTGACTCAATAATAATATAATATATATAATATATTGTTATAATAATAACAATAACAGTTGCTACTGTTTTAGAATCTGGACGCTCTGCATGACCACCTGGGCACCATCTATCCCGGCATGCGCGCACCCTCGTTTCGCTGTACAGACGCAGAGAAAGGAAACAACCTCATCCTGCACTACTACTCTGAGAGAGAGGGCCTACAGGATATTGTCATCGGCATCATCAAGACGGTCGCCCAGCAGATCCATGGAACGGAGATTGAAATGAAGGTCGGGCCTGTTCTGTCTCCTTTACTTCCTTTGCTTGATTTTGCGTAGGTTTATATACCAAAGGCAGTCAAAATTCATTTTTACATGACCATAACATCTCTTTATCCCATACAGTTAAGCAGATTGTGTTTGACTGATATAATTAAATGATCTTTGCTTTGCCTGACTGCCCTGAATTGTGCCTAATTCAAAAAACAGTCTGGGCTGAAAAACTCATAACTTCAACATGAATGGGCAGGGCTAAATAACAGCTGGCTGAATAGGTGGATGTTATATGTTTTTGCAGCTTAATTTTCATACATGGACTGGATATTTGGGAGTAAACTGTATGTTTTGATATTTTAACAGTGTTACATCTCTTATTTTAAGGGATTTTTCCCATGATATGGGGCCTTTACTATATATTATTAAAGGTATATTTTAATAGAAAGGGGTTCAGATCTTTCAATTTTTCTTTGCAAAAACTGCAAAACTGAAGGAACCTTGGGAATAATAAAACTTTTACAAAGAACACTGGCTGACTGACTGACTCATTTACTGATCGACTCACGTACCGACTGACTCTTACTTACTGACTGACTGACTCATTTACTTACTTACTGACTGAGTGACTCATTTACTAACTGACTGACTCATTTACTTACTGACCAACTGACTCATTTACTAACTGACTGACTGACTCACTGATTGACTCATCCGTTCACTTAATGATTGACTCACTCAGTGACTTACTCACTGACTGACTCATTTACTGATTGACTGACTCGCTGAATGACTCATGTGCTGGCTGACTGACTACTTACTGACTGACTGACTCACTCACTGACTGGCTGGCAGACAGACTTACTCACTTGTTATCATTATTTAGGTAAAACATACTCTTTATTTAAAATGAAGCTTTGTAAAGTATACACAAGGTATTAGTTAAAATGCTGACTGCAGATTTTTGTGAAAAATAACAGTGTAAATTTAACATTACAGGGAAAATTTTTAAAGAAGGCAAAGTGTTCCTGAATTTTTAGTGTGTGATGCCTTTCTAATTTTGGTCAGTGGATAAGCGTGTCTGATCCTCAGAAGTCATCGCGGGTGATAAAAGTATGGTGAATTCGATATGAATTCTTTCTCACAATAAGCTCATTTTAAACTTGCACTCACACCGCGTTTGTCTTCATAAGTAAATGAGATAATTTGATTTTGATGTTATTACTGTGCGCACAGTCTTCTTTTGTGGGCAGAAAAACTATTTACATTTCGGCCTTTACTTTGAAATGAATGGAAACAAGTCAGAAGTGCAGACTGGAACCTGTCAAAACAGAATGTAAACCAAACGTTAATATAATTTGTTATGTAACTAAATGTGTAATTACATAAATACATTTAAATAGTAGAGCAAATCAACAGGAATAACTAGCCGTCTAAGGGCTTTACATGAACTTGTGTTATCATGCATGGAGTGATAACAAATATGAGAAAAAAGTGGCAGAGGAAGAGGATGTTCCTGGTCTCAGAGTGAGATCATTCTTTGTTGCCTTACAAAAGTCCCTCCGTTATTTTTCAAAGAAACCAAAAGCCTAATCATCTCCCAGACTCCAAACTGCCCTCTCTCTCTTGCTCTCCCACACGCTCTCTCTCTCTAGTGTGAAATGAGCAAGCAGAATTGACAGACCCTCCAAATGTAACACCTGATTTCTCGATAAAATGCTGCCCGCCGTTGTCATGACGACAGCAGGGCAAAGACAGTGCCTTGACGTAAGCAAAATGGGTTCAGTTACACGCAGGAAAAATCTCAGCAAAGCTGCAGCATACGGCTGTGTACCAGCCTGCCATGTGTGCTGCTATACTGCCTTTTCACATGCCAGGTTTTAGCCGTTTAAAGAGAAAAGTATCTGAGAGGAAAACTACGCTCGATTACTATTCAGACAGGATTTGTTGAAAATGGGGAATTGGGGAAATGCAGTTATTACTGGCGTTTCTCAGTGATTTTAGTCCCATCTGAATCCATCATGTCAGTATTTTTATAGACATCAGTAAAGATTCTGGAGCTTTTTACCTGCATGAGAAGGTAGGGTAATGTCATCTTATCACAGGATGTTTGTGATGTTTATGACTGATGTGCATGGGACAAGAAATCTCTGGATATGGATCATTTGACCAGACTGGTTCAAAGTCTGAGTTCAAAACACATTTTGGACTCTGACTTGGACTTTAGACCTTTTACTTTGAGTGACCCTGTACCTTAATTATGTTTATTTTATTCAAATCGACAACTGAACATTTCTTTTTGTCACTAACAAAACAATCATAACACTACCGAAACTTTACCACGTTTCACTAGTGACTGTTTCGGTAGTGACAATTTTAGCTAATTTTGGGCAGAACTCAAAATTGCTAGTCAGTACATGACTAGCAAGCACAGCTTTGAGCAGTCATACACACAAAATCATAATATTTTTCATGAAAACACAAAACGTTTACTTAATTGCAGAAAATGTGTTTCAGTAGTGACAACTGTTAATGCTGAATTAATTTTCAGATTTCTGGACACATTCTGAACAGTGGGATCTAACTGCTCACCATGTGGCCATGAGGGACAGGGATGCAGTCACACTTCCTGCTCTAAAATGCAGGGGTGTGGCTAAAATAAGGCCCCACCCATGGACTAAAACTCTGTGTGTTTGTGGGCACCCCAGGTCAAACGACATGCACATTTTAATGCATAACTACTGTTTATTTGTTAAATTTAACATAAAATGTGGCCAACATGTACGCTGACAGGGATGTTCAAACGTCTGCATACGACTGTAAGCTGCCTCTTAGATGAGTGGGACTGGAAAAACCCGCTACATACAGATACATTAAGCTAGAGACTCTCAGCCATCTGAGCAAGCACAGCTATTTACCAGTCGTAGGTTCTGGCACCAGTGAGTCATAAGTTGTATATTCATGTCTATGTTGTGTTGGGATTGTAAAATGCCACTCTTTCAACAGAGTCAACAGAGATTGTAGTAACAATATTTCATAACAACATCTACAGTTTTCCCTTTTTTCATCCAAATGTTGCCCACAAGCTGAGACATGTTTAATGTTCAAAGTTTGCACAAAACTATAAAGATTGCTGCTACTAATTTTAAAGTTTTTTAGCTACGTCATGTAATTTTGTCCATTTTGTTATAGATAACAGGATGTCAAAGTGTCAAAAAACATGTAAGCAAACCTGTTTTGAGATTACTGAATAACTTTATGTGGGTTTTGAGTCTAAACCCATCTTGAGCTTAACAATATTCTGTCCAAACCTGGCGTGAACCGACCGATCATCAGCCAAAGTGCAGAATACAACTTGATAGGATAGCACCAGTTACCATGTAGTGACAATAAAAGCAATCATTTAGAGTGCAGATTAATGAAATATAAAACAAATATAAAATATTATTCCAAAATAAAATGAATTCTGTCCAGAATTCCATTTAAATCCAACAAATTTATTCATAAAGCAATGCTTTTTAACAAAATCTTAAACATACAATATTAAAAATGCAGACAAACAAATCAAACATCCTTTTGGCTGCACTAAACCATACTTTCGTATTTTCTGCATAATTCAATGCTTGGGATGTAAACATCATCCAAAGAGGTTTGATGTGAAATATTTTATTGTAAGGAAACTTACAGACTCAGATACAGTGGTGATACGATCCAGGGGTTGTGATGTCTACAGTGTGAATACAGTCACATCATTTACTGTCCAAAATGTTCAGTAAACCAGCACATCTTCTGAGTATTTACATGTAATGTTGAAAATGTAAATAACTTTTCTATAAGGACTATTTTGCCTTATAATGGCCCTACAGGTGCCTCTCCACCTTTTGAAAAATAACCATTTTATGTAATAATGATGTGTGAGGTATCTTTTAGAGGCTCTTCAGGTGTACGGTTCCACGCTTAGTATCTCTGAGAACAAATCACTGAACTCTAAATCTATCCCTCTAATACCAGGTCATTCAGCAGAAGAGCGAGGAGTGCGACCACATTAAGTTCCTGATTGAGGAGAAGGACTCGGAGGAGGAGGCGTTTTATGAGGACTTGGATGGCTTTGAAGAGAATGGCACTCAGGAGACCCGCATTAGCCCCTATACTTTCTGCAAGGCCTTCCCTTTCCACCTCATGTTTGATAAGGACCTAATGCTCACCCAGTGTGGCAACGCCATCTTCAGGGTCCTGCCACAGGTAAGACTAATACTGAGAAGGCCACAATACGCAAATAAGCCTCTAACCAATCACTAAATGTTTTCATTGTGAGCTGTGAGCATCTTGACCAATCACAGATGTTTCTGTGGAGTTCAGACGTATTAAGGCATTAACATGATCCAACAGATGTAGATCATTTTGATCAAATTATGCAGAGCAAGCAGAGTTAACCTAGTTATACCGACATTTTGAGTATATTGAGCAGTATGATGTGTTAACATTATCATAATTAGTTACACTATAGTACCCTTTCCTAAGGACATCATGAAGATATCGTTAGTACTTCTAGCAAGGCTGCAACAACAAATCAATCGAGTAAATAACACTGAAAATCTGGCAACAAATCTTATCAAATTATTGTTATTCACATGCATCCACCTATTCAGGCAAGAGCAGTTTAGCCCCACACATTCATAAGGTGTGTTTCAGCCTGAATTCCTTTTTCAATACAGCACAAACCCACACTCATATATATATATATATATATATATATATATATATATATATATATATATATATATATATATACATACACAAATACGTATAAGAACATATATGTGTATATATACATATATATATATATATCGCTGCTGTTGGAAGAAAACCTTGTATCTCCATTTTTGTTGTCCTTTACATTGTGTGTAAATTTCATGATAAATGGACCAACAGAAATGACCCAAAATTATTTGGCAAGAAGTCTGGTTCTATTGACATACATTAAAAGTAGGTTTTTTCCTTCAGTGATACATACATACACGTTTTATATACATTATTTATATATATATATATATATATATATATATATATATATATATACACACACACACACCAATCAGGCGTAACATTATAACCACTTCCTTGTTTCTATGCTCATCGTCCTTTTTGTCAGCTCCACTTACTATATAAGGTGCACACTTACTATATAACTATATAGGTGCACTTTGTAGTTCTACAAAAACTCCAGCAGCACTGCTGTGTCTGATCCACTCAGACCAGCGCAACACACACTAACACACCACCACCACATCAGTGTTACTGCAGTGCTAAGAATGATCCACCACCCAAATAGTACCTGCTCTGTGAGGGTCCATGGGGGTTCTGACCACTGAAGAACAGGGTAAAATGGGGCAGAGAGTATGCAGAGAAACAGATGGACTACAGTCTGTAATTGTAGAACTACAAAGTGCACCTATATAGTAAGTGGAGCTGATAAAATGGACAATGAGTGTAGAAACAAGGAGGTGGTCATAATGTTATGCCTGATCGGTGTATATAGATACACACACACACACACATACAGGGACATTCACTCGAAAGAGGCCCCAAATATTCTGTTGTAACTCCCATTAGGATGAAGCAGTCTATGCCAAAAAAATCCGCTACATACCTTGATGTATGTGTAATCGATTGAATTACATAACCCGACAAATGGAACCACGCCTCATCCGAGAACCATGTGATGTCCAATAAACGCCTGGAACCAGTGACAGTATCTGACTCTTTTCTTCACATGACTTGCTTTGAGCTCCTGAACGACAGTGATCACGATACGCATGCAATTTTGCCCTTTTTGTAGCTCTCCGACATGTTAAAAAAGACCTCCCAGTCTCCTGTGCTAGGCATCTCAGAGGTTTCGTAGGCAATTGCTGCAGACGATGTTGCACATCATCGATTATGTCCTGCCACATTTTCGGACAGCCTCCGCCATGAGAAGGGATCAATGATCCCCTCGATTCCAGTTTCCATACCATCTTCTGAATAACACTCTTTGAGGGTACTTCACAAACACCATATTTCTTCCTAAATTCACTTTGACCTTTGACATGGCTTAAACGAATCTGTGACCCAGTTGGTTCGCACCATTAAGATGTGCTGCTCAAACTGTACAGCACTATCCTGATGAGAAGTCGAGTGACTGAGTGAAGGGGTACGGGAGTATGCACCCGGAAGTTGCAAATGGAGGTTAAACGTTGCAACAGCTGTCCGGCACCTACCTCATTGCTCTGATTCAAGGGGCATCCCGACTTGTTCGAAGCTCCAATACTGAGGAGCACACTGCACGTCGTTTCGTTCAGATTGCTTCGTCCTAGCGAGAGTTATTACACAACATTCGGGGCCTCTTTTGAGTGAATCTCCCTGTATGTATGTGTGTGTGTGTGTTATAACACACAGCGCATTCTGAACCCTAAATATGTTTGGTCACAAAAGCCGTTAGCAGAAACAGTCAAACGCCTGCTGTTCTTGGACAGAACACGATGAATCCGTTCAGTGAACCAGCGCGCAGTATTCGCGTCAGGTGATGCAGCACTGCTGCAAACTGTTTTAGGCAGAATCTCAAATGGCTCCCTTCTCCCTACAAAGTGCAGAGCGTAGGTCTTAATATAATGGCTACTGCATCTAAACAGAGCACAGTGTGTCTAACAACCTAAGAACCACTTTGGATTTGGCCATGTGTACACAATTTAAACTGGACATAAAGCGCAATATTTTGGTGTTAAAGTCAAAATTTCATAACTCACATAGTGCACTATATAGGGAGCAGTGGGATTCAGCCTTAGGATTTTCAGAGATAGGACCAGATCAGGTCAGCCACACAATCCTATCCGGCCAGCAAAAGTATTTTCATTTTCTATTAATATTAGCCAGCTTCACAACACTACAGTCCCCAGCATGCACTGCAACGTAATGTGCTCTGACTCTCCTACCCCAGTCTATGGAACAGCAGTTACACCTTAATTCTACATAATTCTGCACAATTCCACACCAGTCATATCACCAAAATGTATTTCAGCTGCAGTTTAACCAATATAAACAGTTAATGTTACCTCAGCAGCTCGGAAACTGAGCACAAAGTCTTAATGAACTTGCAGCAAAGATGCCGGGTGTCTAATTCACGCAAATAGGTGGGTTTAAAAGACTGAGCACCTGGGGACATTTAAATTTTGAATATTTAGTGTCCATGTAATATTTCAAGGTCTACTACAAGTGTCGGTATTTTACTGTTGAAGTTGTTGCATATTTTGAATAAACAATGGCGAGTTTGGGTTATAGAATAACATTAATTAAAAATGAAATAAAAACTTTTTTTTCTCTGGCCCCCAGATTTGATAAGATTTTTTAATATGATTAACTGATTGAGTTTGACACCCCTGTTATAGATGTTTAATACTGCCCATTATATATTCCATAAAATCTAAAAAGGCACGGTAATAAAACTGCCTATTTAATTTTAATGGATAAAGAGGTTAGAAAATGGTCACGTGAAAATGAATTATGATCATTGTTGCTATATAAAAAAACACACACAAGCAACAAAAAATCTGTAGTATTTGGGCTTTTTAAGTATTGCAATATTACACTTTCTCCATATTTTAGCCATATCGCCCACTGTTGTGACTGCGGGTTGTTACCTTTTTTTGTGGTCATCTTGCTCGCTTGAATTGAAAAACACATTAAGCGGACGAGTCAAAAATAGTTTACAACTGTCTGAGTAACATCTTATGTAACAGCTTAGTGGGAACACTAAGAGTACAGAGTATGGCTGAAATTGTAAGAAAGCATACAAATATGATGAAACAGAAAAAGTACTGCCTGCTGATTCTCTCTCTTCCTCTCTGCATGTGATTTCACAGCTCCAGCCTGGTGTGTGTAATCTGTCCTCTGTGTTCTCCTTGGTGCGGCCTCACATTGACTTCAGTTTCCATGGCATCCTGTCCCATATCAACACTGTGTTTGTGCTTCGGAGTAAGGTTAGCACGCCCGACCGTGTACCAGTCCAAGCCTGAGGAAACTGATGATGAAGTTATTGTTTACAACCGCCTGTAGCTCAATATCTAGTAGTTTTTCACAAAGAACGGAACGTATTTTAAACTGTAGTGATAAAAAAAAAAATCATCTAACAAAAGATTCTAGCAGTTACATCATTAAAGGTATTACCAGGATCTTTTTTACAGATGATTGTAGAGCAAAATTTCACATAAATTGAAAAACAGAACTTTGTTCATTTCATATGCAATAAATTAAAGGCACTGTCTATATTTTAGAGGTGATTTTAGAGCTAAATTACATGTAAATTAACAAAAAAAGGTAACTCATTTAATATACAATAAATGAAATCAGCAAATGAATTAATGGTGCTCATTCTAGAATGTCTTCTAAATCCAATCCAATAGCATTACTTCCCATAGATCATTTTTAGGACACTATCAAGTTAGTTTTTAATAATGTAATGCCAATTTGTTGTATATACATGCATAAAATGATTCTAATATTATGCTAGTGCTCCACAGCTTCAGAAATTCCAAATAATTAGTGGGAAACTATAAAAAATATACGATTTTACCAAAGGTGATTCCATACTAATTGAGAAAGCTGTATAGCATCAAGAATGAAGTTATAATAAAATTGATATCCAGAACGCAACATATTTCAAAAAGTGGAGATTATTTCTTGAGGCAGATAACTTGACAAGAAATGGCTATAAATAGATACACTATATTGCCAAAAGTATTCGCCCGTCTGCCTTCACACGCTTGTGAACTTTATTGACATCCCATTCTTAATCCATGGGGTTTAATATGATGTCACCCCACCCTTTGCAGCTATAACAGCTTCCACTCTTCTGAGGAGGCTTTCCACAAGGTTTAGGAGTGTGTTTATGGGAATTTCTGACCATTCTTCCAGAAGCGCATTTGTGAGGTCAGACACTGAAGTTGGGCGAGAAGGCCTGGCTCGCAGTCTCCGCTCTAATTCATCCCAAAGGTGTTCAGTCGGGTTGAGGTCAGGACTCTGTGCAGGCCAGTCAAGTTCTTCCACACCAAACTCACTCATTCATGTCTTTATGGACCTTGCTTTGTGCACTGGTGTGCAGTCATGTTGGAACAGGAAGGAGCCACCCCAAACTGTTCCCACAAAGATAGGAGCATGAAATTGTCCAAAATCTCTTGGTCTGCTGAAGCATTAAGAGTTCCTTTCACTGGAACTAAGGGGCCGAGCCCCAACTCCTGAAAAACAACCCCACACCATAATCCCCCCTCCACCAAACTTTACACTTGGCACAATGCAGTCAGACAAGTACCGTTCTCCTGGCAACTGCCAAACCCAGACTCGTCCATTGGATTGCCAGACGGAGAAGCGTGATTCGTCACTCCAGAGAACACGTCTCCAGTGCTCTAGAGTCCAGTGGCGACTCTTTACACCACTGCATTCGACGCTTTGCATTGCGCTTGGTGATGTAAGGCTTGGATGCAGCTGCTTGGCCATGAAGCTCTCTATGCACTGTTCTTGAGCTAATCTGAAGGCCACATGAAGTTTGGAGGTCTGTAGTGATTGACTCTGCAGAAAGTTGACGACCACTGCGCACTATGCGCCTCAGCATCCGCTGACCCCCGCTCTGTCATTTTACGTGGCCTACCACTTCGTGGCTGAGTTGCTGTCATTCCCGATCACTTCCACTTTGTTATAATACCACTGACAGTTGATTGTGGAATATTTAGTAGCGAGGAAATTTCATGACTGGACTTGTTGCACAGGTGCCATCCTATCACGGTACCATGCTGGAATTCACTGAGCTCCTGAGAGCGACCCATTCTTTCACAAATGTTTGTAGAAGCAGTCTGCATGCCTAGGTGCTTGGTTTTATACACCTGTGGCCATGGAAGTGATTGGAACACCTGAATTCAATGACTTGGATGGGTGAGTGAATACTCTTGGCAATATAGTGTAATTAAAATATATTATTAAGCATTTAATTAATAACTTCTTGATGAAATCTGAAATATTGAGTAAAACATCTAAACATTGTTTAATGTCCAATTTTATAATATTTCATGCTAAACTGTGTAAATAATTACTGAATAAAATAACAAGTTTCAATATGACAGTGGATTCCAGCAGAAGTGCACATGCCTATGGCAGCTTCCACAGCCCAAAAAATCTACTCCAAGCCCTGAGAGAAGTGTTAAAGATATTCATAGGGTTTCTGAATAAGGCCCTGCTGCTTGTGTATTTGTATGGATGTAGGAGGGCCTGCTGAACGTGGAGACTGCAGAATGTGAGGACGAGCTGACGGGAGCGGAGATTAGTTGCCTCAGGCTGAAAGGCCAGATGATTTCCCTCCCAGAGACTGAAAACATCCTCTTCCTGTGCTCACCCAGGTACTGCACTCAATTTTTGCACAAGTCTGACGGAAATGCAGCTACGCTTCTGGGTGCTGAAAATACGACTCAAAATAAAATGAAATGAAAATTGTCACCAGTACTGATTTGAAAGAGCTAAAAATTCTGATAACTGACAGTATTGGCTGATATAGTTTTAGATGGTTAAAAGTTTCCCAGACTTTGGTAATTAAATAGTATTTCACTGACCTGATAAACCTTTCTAATAAAACTGTGAATTGCCAATTATGACAGACTTGTGTAGACAAATTAACAGCTTCCCAGAATCCCTAGCTGTTTTGTTGATATCGGTAAATTAGATGTTTTGCATCAGTTCTCTTCACATAAACTTGTCTTTTGTCTTTACTGATAGTAAAGGTTATAGTGGATGTACTTTACATGTTGAGCATGAAAGCATTAGGATCCTTATATTACAGTTGTCTGTTTACTATTATATTGATCATTAAAAGTTTATTTCATGTTTATTTCAAGTTTTTATCAAGTTTATACTGTTATATAATTTGAAATAGTTTAATATTTCTGACTGTTTCAGTATATATTGCAAAGTATATTTTGAAATAAAACCATTTTAGATGTTTAGGTAAACATTTTTGTAGGTTAACAGTGGCTTGTTATTCTGGAATGTTACGTCATTTTTTAACAAGAACCATTTTCAACAACTGAAGTAAATTTCAATTTTTCTTTGTGTGAAATGTAACAATATACTGGATAAATCTATGTCAATATTGCTTCCTAACATTAGTGCTGCAGGCCCAGCAAAACACTGCTAAATGTTCTTTTACATCTAAAGGCTGAAGTTGGCTTCTTATTCAGATTTTCAGTTCCATTTTAAATTCTGGCACCTGTAACTGCTGCACCATTTCAGGTGGAACAGGAAATTCGAATAAGAAGCCAACTTCAGCCTTGTCGAATTCTCCAATCATTTGTCAGGCAGACAGGTGAGAGAGGAGACAGAAATGCGGCAATCGCTCTGGTGTCCATGTTAGACTAAGAATAACCCTAAATGACTGGCTGCCTCGAAAACAAAGTGTATGCAAGGGACTAGACAGGAGGCGGTGATGGAAGGTCTGCTGCATTTTCATTTTTATTTAAAACATGTCTGAAACATCGATGACTCAGCTAAACAGGCTAACGTTACAAGATTTGCGCTATTTTTATATAATGTTATCTGTGCTTATTTGTAGATTATCAGTATAAAGGTTAAGACAAAAATCATACCTGAGATGGAATTTCAACCAGGATACCATGTGTACTGATACCATCTGCTAATGACTTACAAGATTTCCATATGACAGAGATATGTTTTGGTGAGATGTTGTAGCATGTGGTTGTTAGTGCACTGAATTAGGCTTTAAAGATGGTAGAATATTTGCTAAATATAGTAAACTGAATCAGAGTGGGGAGTAGGCTGGAGACTGATGTTCACGTCTCAATTATTCTGTAGGCCTCTCATTGGTTACCTCGTTCAGACGGGGAGGGGGAGGATTTTTCATTTCAGTCAGCGTGCGTGTGCTAATACCTCATTTCAGTCCAGTGGCCATGTGGATGAGGCGGACACACTTCATGCTAGCGGGCAATAACTCAATTTAACAATAGCTTCACCTTGTATTGCAGCAGGAGACACAGCTAGTCAGAATAATCAGATTTCTTCTCCGTGGCCCAATTTGTTGGAGGCAAATTAGAATCCTGCAACAGACCTTTCTTTTGAAGTGCGGGAGCTTTTCTGCGATGAAAACCGAAACAGCACACATGCAGTGAAGTGCTGTGATTAGAGTAGTAGTGAAGAAATAGAATATATGAGATAAAGAAATGGACGTGTTTTATAGGTGCAGGCTTTGTGAAAGCAGACAACCTTGAGTTCTAAGAAGTTACATAGCTACAAAAATACTTAAATAAATAGTGGCACATTCGGTATATTATGATCTTAATATACCTATACACAACAGCCTTTCACAACAGTCTGGTGCTTGAGGAGTGGTTTCGTCTGTCTGCTTAACTTGACTTCAAAACTACTGTTAACTGTAGAATCGTGACTGTTGAATAGGGAGCAACTTTAGGAGTAACCTTGAAGGAAAATTCCCGCATTTCTCCACTTAATCTGGATCTGAAGCACATGTAGTGTGCAGTCGATTACCACTTCAACTTTTCCACGTACTTACCAAAAGAACAGTGAACCCGTTGACTCGAAACTCACTTATAATAGAAATAGAAATTCAGCATTTGCTGAATTCAGTGAATATAATGTGAATTAAAACAATACAGGTCTTAGGATTGTTTTATCCACTTATGGGTAACAGTAAAAAAAAAAAAAGTAGTTCTGGTTACTTTTGCTTCCTCCTAGGATTTCTGGTATCTATGGTAATCCTGTGAATCACTGCAAATTCTTCACTCTGGAAAACTAGTCCCATCTCCAAAAGAATGAATTGTACAGCTTAATTTACAAATACGTCAGACTGGAGAATTCATCAGTGTTGGCATGCTGCTAGAGCTGGCCTGAGCAATACTCGAGTATTCGTTCGTTATGTCAGCATTTCCTTATTTAGTATTCGGAAGTTTTGACTTTTGTCAAACCTTCAGACCTCACCAAAATTCGACAATAATTTGTAAATTCCTGATAATTGTTTCATATTTAAAACTCTATTAAACAAGACATTTTATCATAAAAACATTAGCAACATGTAAATTACATAACTATGGAGTGATAGCAGGCTAGCGAATTGGTTTAACTTGAATGTTAAATCTATTTTAGTATAAAACATTGTAATAACTCCCCGAGTCCTCAATTCTGAATGAGATGTTCTATCGATGAGATTTCATCTGTGATGGAATTGAACCACTATGTTAGCAGTGGAATAACTTGCTGTGAAACCATGAAAACACATTGCCTAACAAAGATTTTACAATTTGACAACTGGAACCATTTCATTAAAAAACACAAACTAAAATAAACAGACATACTTAAAGGTACGGTTAATTCTGAAATTATATCTATAGTTTTAAAATGGTACTACCGAAAGTGAGTACTAAAGTATTTAAAACCAGCAGAACCAGCATGTTTTGCATAAAGATTTACTGACCAAATTCAGCTGCTGGCCAATTGGGTTTTCTTTTCTGTTCTAAGTCAAATGCATCAAAATCATTGTTCTTACTGATCCAATATAGGCTATAGATGTGACACCTTGAAGTGTTGCGTTTTCAGTGCAGAAACAGTGTAGCAACTACTGAGCTTTACCCTACTTTTGTTCATCCACTCTCATCAGTGTAATGAACCTGGACGACTTGACGCGGAGGGGCCTGTACCTGAGTGACATCCCGCTTCACGATGCCACACGTGACCTGGTTCTGCTGGGAGAACAGTTCAGAGAGGAGTACAAACTAACGCAGGAGTTGGAGATCCTCACCGACCGCCTGCAGCACACGCTCCGAGCCCTGGAGGACGAGAAGAAGAAGACTGACAGGTCAGTCCTCCCGCATCCCACAATGCTGCCTGTCACATAATGTAGTGTGTTCAAAGGTTGGCTCCTAAATGAGTGTCAGTCAGATCACTTTATCACTCCACTACTGTGAATAAAAGTACCTATATGTGGTACTTTGCCTAATAACACACATTAGATAGGTCTATAACTAAAGTGATGTAATACAGATTGTCTTAAAAATTATATCTAACTAAAATAAAATTAGCTAATAATTTAACTGCAAATTATAGCTTAGCTCAATGTATACTGATGATGCTAGGCTATAGCAATTGCTTTTTACCCAGCTATAATGATAAACATTTAAAAAAATAGACTAAACCGACAGATATTTCACTTAAAAATAGCTCATTTATAAATAACTAATAAAACAGTAGCTCAGCTCAATGTATGCTAATAGATTCTGATTCATGCTGGGTTAGCAATTGCTAATTACTGTAGTATTACTACTATCATTATTATGATAAACCTTTTAAAATCTACTAAATTGAGGGTTAGATGTTTCACAAAAGTAAAAGATTATCTAATAATGTATCTGCAAACGCTAGCTTGCCTGTTTGCTAATGGCTTCTGGTTCAATGCTAGGTTATAGTGATTGTTAATTACTTAACTGTCATAGAACCTTTTAAAAATCAAAACACAAGGATGTTATTATTCACGTTTCAGTTCACTTTGTCTTTTGGTCATAGTTTAAAACAACCGCTCAGATTCCTCTGACACTTAGCCTAAGTAGCTAGCTAGCAAGACTGTCAAACACAGAACGTCCATGAACTTCCTGACAAGAAATATTTATAAGAACTGTCTGAAGATAAAGGTCCTCAAGAGGAAGCGTGAGGAGACATAAAAATAGCCCTTAATCTGACAGAAACCCAACTTTCTTCTGCTCATTTAGCTACATGACAGCTCCTGCAAGAAAGGGAAGCAAAAATCAGAGCAATATTTCTCCACTCCCTAATACTGACTCCTACATATTGGGCTGAATAGCAGACATACTAGAGAAATCACTGTTACCTTTCGGATAAATTCTTATCGCTGTATTCCTTCTTCCATGAGAAGAAATAATGGGCAAAGACTTGATGTCAAAACATAACCGCCAAAGAATGTCGGCCAAATGTAAATGTTTCATCATTGAGGTTGAGTGGATCAGAAAACACATTCAGACTTGGTGTTTAAAATGACTTTCAGAAGTGTGATAAATGTACATAAGCAAGAGTATTTACATTGGTTGTTAATACATTTGATACATGTTTAACACATGCATTAACACGGATTCTGGTAATGTTTGCTCGGGCTCATCCTTGTTTGGATAAATGTGGTCACGCAGTGGTGCATGCCTGCTATTTGTCTAATGAGTTTGTAAATGAATGGTGCAATGATTACGCCAAATCTTACATCACTTGCAAGATATTTCCCTCGGAATTTAACCAAGAGCCTCTAAAATAATTAAAGCAAAACTATTACATAAGGAATTGGAACACTAAATGCCCTTTAACTGTTATTTTTATATTCAGCCATACATTTGTAGTTGAACTCTTACAGACACTCTTACAGTGTAATTTCAAGACCATATTTGTATTTGTGAGCAGAAGAGATATTTTGTTATGATTTGAATTTGATGAGCAGAACCTCCATGAACAGTCTTGTTTTGCAGAAAAAAACTCTTACTTACGTTTCTGTAATTTCTTGATTTTGAAAAAAAGTTGGATATGCAGTCTCAAAGCTGTTAGACAGTCTCAAAGCTGTTAGACAATTATAGCTACTGAGTGTAGCTATAATTCAGTATGTAATTAACTATGCACTTAATTGTGCAGTTATGGAATTACATATAGGTAGAAAATAAACAATGTTAACTGTAGATTTCTAAAGGATAAGTTATTGTTTAGTTTTTACATCTTGCCAAATATTTTCATTTGACATTCGCCAAAGACCTTATGTAGAGCTTCTAGATCAATTCCTTTTAAAATAAAGTGCAAAAACATCTAGTGTAAAATTTTTACAGTAATTTTCTAGCAACAATTTATCCTGTAATTTACTTTTTTTTTTACAGTACTCATACTTTTATATATGTTTTATATAATGATGTACTTTAAGTACAGCTGATTACTTTTTTTTTTGCACTCCTGCATTCTAATGTACAGCTGTCTGATTAGTTTCTGATAGCAATTGCCTGAACATTCATGCATCCTGTTACACAGTTAAGAGGAATCTGTGGAGGGGAGGAGAGGTAGAAACATGTCTCTCCTACTTTTAGAATTACCCAAGATAAATTTGGAGGTTGCAGGATGGTTGTCAAAAAAAAGTACATAACCTGTTGACTGTATTATTATGATCATTCATTGACTTATGCCATAACAGTTATTGAGAGTCCTTCCTTTTCTTCATAATTATCATCATATTTAACATTTTTGGGATACTTTGCTAAATATTTTTGGAACAAGAAGCAGATCAGACTAAAAACAGGCCACTAAATTGCATCTCTGTTCTGAATATGAATAATATTATTATTCCTGTTGATAATATTGTTTTTTGAGATAGCAATATGATGGCTGTAATTCTAGGCGTGCTTTTTCGTTTACAGTTTTACATTTTAATTGCTGTAAAAAGCTCCCGCTATCAGTCATTCAGAGTGGTTTGATGTGAAATGGTTCACTGTAGAGAAACAAAGACTCAGATTTCTTGCAGTGGTGGTGACAGGAACCAGAGGTCACCATATTTACAACACAAATACAGCCATTTTATTTTCTATCCAAAACCACCAGTGAACCTACACAAGACTTATTAGTCATGTTCTAGTTACTATACAATCCCACAGTTTAACCTGATTCTCCCAGAATGCACCATCCAGAAAGACTAAATCCTTTTTGCCAAAAAATTGTTGTGTTTTTGTAATTTCTTGACCTCGAAGCGAATGAATGAAGGATAGACATGCAGATGCGAAGCTATTGATACAGAAATGCAAATCGAATGCAAATGTAATTCATAACGTAACTATGAATTTAAATATGCAGTTATTAAATTACAACTAGAAAACAATATTAACTCTACACTACTTATTTATTATTCATCTCATTTCAAATACAAAAGAAGCAGAAATGTGCACAAGTTCTTCTGACATAAACATTTATATTTCTGAGAAGCATATTTACTGAAAGATCCCAAAAGACATCCATATCATGAGCGTGTAGCAGTGTTTTGTTTTCTGTCCAAGATGGCTGTCTTTCTTTTCCTGTTCTAGAAATAAGCCTCTGCAGGGAAGCAGGCTGCCTCAGCATGTGTGCGTTTGTGTTTGTATGTCTTTGTGTTTGCTAAATCTGATGGAAAGCTCAGTATTTCACACCGTGCTCCACGTCCCAGTCCTGCCCAGACAGCAAACACTGACAGCTGTTTGGAGCTCTGAGTGCCGCATCGCTGCTCCATGGAAAAAGTTCAATCCACAGTCGCCCCGCGGTGGATTTAGCGACGTGACTGCCGCAAGCACTGTCAGCTCAAATCCGCCCGGAGCTGATGAACGGCCACAGCGGAACGAAAAGATGAATGCAGCATGTTTGCGCAGCCACTCGGACAATTAGTTTAGGGACTCAGACTACTGATTTATTGCCTTTGATTTATTGCTACTTAGAGTATTTACTGATTAAAGCAATTAATGTCTAGTCTAAGCTCTAGTGTAACAGAAGTACAATAACCACAAACTGAAACAAGAATTTAACCCACGGAAATCGCAGATATTGCCAGCAATAGAAAATACATGGTGGCAAAGGAGAAGGACACACATGAATCTGCCAGTATACAATGTAAATTGAATGTAAATTAAATTAATTACATAATTCAGTACGGAAGCCCTTGAATTCCAGCCAATTAAAATATAAGACTTTACAAATTATTTTAATGCCAATGAAACTGAAAAACAGCGATAAAAACGCTATATTTTCTTCACGCTCCTGAATGACCAACTGGATTTCATGGCATGTTCTGTAGCCTACATACTAATTTTCTTTTATGGCAAGTGTAAATTTTTTGTCAGCCCACGTATAAAATAAAATGGCAAATTTTTTGGTTTGTGACCAGGTGTATCTTGAACGTCGGTCTTAGTTTTGACCAGGAATTTTCGTTGTGCATCACTGTAGTAAAGTAATTGCATTTGAAAGGTATAGCAAAATGACAGTAATAACTTGAAACATCCAAAGGTTTAGGGATTGTAGCTTCTCAATCGATTCACTCCTAGTCATAAATAATCATAATGGTTTTTGAAGGAGTATGTCTTCAACTGCCATTGTTAACATTTTTTCCACAGTGTCCATAAATTGCAATTTTGGAGGTATCTCAGTTCAGCCTTGTTTTATTTTTTAACATTAAATCAGATGTTTAAAACTATTTGAATACATTTTTAATTATATTTTGAAGTTTTATCTGATTATATTAATAAAAATATCAGCCCACCAGTTTCTAAATAATGGTTGAGTTTTAGAAAAAAGTGATTTGATAGGTGACAGAAATAGTTCATTCTAGAGAAACTTACAGACTCAGATTTCTTAACTGTGGTGCTGATAAAAGATTCATATGCACGGCTTTGAAAATTCATGTTTAGACAATGATTTATAAAATGGAATTTCAACATAAAAACATGCGTAGCCTAAGGCACGTTTCCAACCTGATGTACAAACCTTTCAGCAGTCGGTCCCTGTGACAGGATCAGTTAGACACAAATGACTAGGGGGGCATGACTACCTACATCATAATAAAAACACAGGTATTCAGTTGAAAAAGGAATTAGACAAAATTATAAGTGATGGTCACTAAGCTAATAGTCAACACATCTTCACATCAGATATTTCATATTATGTGGAATAAAAGATAAACAAACAAATAATCTTTAAAATCATCTCATGACAAACAGCTTTACTATAGTGAAGATGTTAACTTATTGCTGATGGAAGATATGTTAAATTTCACTTCTCATGTGGTAAACTCAACTCAAATAGACAGTA